GTCTAGAACGTATGTCCAGTGCCGAGGATATTGATTTTGTGCAGTATGTTGACCCCAGACCGCGAGTATCGTTTATAACTCATGGAATAATCGAGAACGTAGAGTTGGTACTTCTTGTTTCAATGTATAGATTGTTAGTAGTTTTTATTTACACACTTCTGTATTTCGCTTTGTCTAACAGGATAAAAAGTAACGTACGTATTATTCCAGAAATCCAAACGATAATCTTATTTAGATTCGTTTAGTAGTTTTTGTGTAAAATATTATCACTAATTCATACATTTCCGCAAAAAATGTGCATTTGCAATATTAGTAAGGTCCAGTACCTAGTTCTACCTTAAGAATAATTTGTACCAAGCAGGAATCGAACCAGCGACATGTTTGCGGCAACTGTGCGGCAATCGTGCAATCAAAAATACTTATTGTATATTAGGCAAAAGGTAGCGGGCTAACAACAGTGGCCTACACTTTATCATTAACACTTGGTTTGTGGTCTCTGTTCCAGACTCCATTGGACTAAGGCTTGATCATCATCATCATTAGCCAGAAGACGTTCCCTGCTGAACAAAGGCCTCTTTTTACCTCCCTAAGCTCGTACTACATACATTCATGCAGCCACGCCTTTGTCTCACGGGGGTAGGCAGAAGTAATAGATTGTTGTACCGCGTCTTAGGGTACGTTCACATTTGCGCATGAGCAGCGCACTCGCCAAGTTAGGAACTCTCTTCCTTCTATCAGGTATGCGCATGCGCCAGGAGGGGAGAGCGGTAATCAGTTGTTGCGCTGTCAATCTAGTCCTAATCACAGCTTTATCCCAATGGGGGTAAGAACAAGCCACAGAATGCTACTACTGCTGTATCGCGTCTTAAGGGGCGTCGACGTTTGCGCATGAGCAGCGCACTCGTCAGGGCGCAGAGGGTATTCAGTTGTTGAGGGCTGTCTAATTTGTTCGAACCACACCTTTGTCCCAAAGAGGGTAAGAAGAAGCCACAAAGTGCTACTACTATTTATCGCGTCTTATGGGGAGTGTCGACACGTGCGCATGAGCAACACACTCGCCAGGTTTGGAGGCACCATGCCTTATATCAGGTATGCGCTTGGGCCTGGATGGCGAAGAGGGTAATAAGTAATAATAATAATAATAATAAATTTGTTTATTATCTCTCTACACAATATAAGTTGATGAGATCTGTCAAATCTCAAATCGGTTTGAACTACACCTTTATCCTAATGGGGGTAAGAAGAGACCATAGACTGCTACTACTACTGTATCGCGTCATTGGCGTCTTATAGGAGGTCGACATGTACGCATGAGCAGCATAGTCACCAAGTTTACACGAAGCATTTCTCCTATTACATATGCGCATGCGCCAAGAGGGCGAAGAGGGTGATCATATCGATTCAAATCACACCTTTATCCCAATGGGGGTAAGAAGAGGCCACGGAGTGCTACTACTGCTGTATTGCGTTTTATAGGGCGTCCACATTTACGAATGAGCAGCGCACTCGCTATTGGACGCACCATTCTTTCTATCAGATATGCGCATGCGCCAGGATAGGGTAATTAGCTATCGCGCGCTGTAAATCCGAATATGAACCTTATTTTGAACTCATGTTCGTTTCTTTCCCGGTTCCCACATCTCCGCCCATGCCTTGGGTGTGGTACAGAGCATCTGGTAGCACAAGCCGGCCGGCTAAAAAGTACTCTTATAGCAGGCCTACTAATACTTACGAAAATGAAACTATTCAAATAAATAATACCTTGTCCGGTCCAGAAATGGAACCTTCTTCGGAAAGTTAGCTCAGCACTCACGCTTGCGCATGGTGCTACTAGTGGTGTTGGAGTTACTACCTACCAGCAAGAATTATGGTAGAACGTTGTAGATCATGTCCATCTCTAACAAAGCCTATACCTTGTACCCACGTCGAAAGCTAAAATAATAGTATATTTTTACTTGTTTTAATAACATCGCTTTGTTTTGTCTAGGTACCTAATTAAAACTGCCCACCTATACCTTACTTACATTGATTTGCGGCCATTTTAATAACCCACCTGTCGCTCGAAATAGACATTTGACACTGCCTCCACAAGTATGGCTACATCCTTATACCGGGTGTGGGGCTAAGCGCAAACCTAAGTAGGTAACATGAATAGCTATATGTAGAGGTATGTACCCACGTCAGGTGATCTTTGTTGTCTTTGTTATCTCTAACGCCTTATGATTATAGGGGTTACCGGCACCGGTACCTACTAACTATATTATCATTCCACACGAATATAACTACAAACGTACCTTATAATTTCGATGTAAAATACCTAAATAATATGATCGCAACATTATCCACGTCACAATAAACCTCTGAGTTCGTCGTTGTATATGTTCAGTCCGGTGAAGTAGACGCAAAGGAGTTGAAAATGACAAATTGTACTTACATTATGCTGGAGGTAGTCTGGCAGCTCGCCACGAACCCACACGCGACCCGAAATATCATTTAAACTCACAATTTTAGCTAATTTTTGGGAGCAGCAGCCTAGTGCTTGCGTCGGCTCGGCGCACTCTACCCTACTGAAAGCACGGGGGTGGTGATCGATATAGGGGCCGCCGGTGGAAGGTTCCAGTGCGCCGACCGAGCTGCGCAGACTCTCTCCGTGCATACAAACGCATTTCAGACGGGTGTAAGCTTATGGCTAAGTACTAGACCGATAGTGCACCTAACTGTGCACGCAATAGAGAACAGCTCCAACGTAAAGCCAGGCATGCGCTCACCTGCAAGCTGCGCAGCGCGGACCGGTGGTCAGGTCAAGCTCCAATTATGGCTGTATCGATTATTGTCAAGTCTAGTACCTACCTAGACGATCTGTTATTGCTAACATTTTAAGATACGATTCGATTATCGTCATACATAGACACGCCTTAAAATATCGCTCGCTTAAATAGGTAACAATGTACGAATGTACGTGCCACCTGACACGTGTCGAAGTCCTCGGAACTACACAAACACAACATCACGACTTTTATTACCCGAGGAACTAGACAGAGATACAATGTGCATCGTACATTCTACTTACATATAGGTATGTATGTTAAACTTGACGTTCGGTTTTGTCTATATAGTTATGTTTTATTTTGGTTACCCTTTAACTCGTCGAGTACCGGTTTTATAGACACAATTAAAGAACAATAGGTCGCGGTCACCGGTGACCGCTTGGTGTTTGACAGTTTAAATGTAAGTTGGGTGTGCCTTACCCATACATCGGGTACAATTCCCAAACTCTATGGGACTACTACTACTAGTACTTACTGAGAATTTTCTAAAATCGATAAATCTCAATAATACGTCGAGTAATGACTGCACGGTTGGTGCGGTGGCTGGGCAACCGACTGCCGTGCAACGTGTCGCGGGTTCGATTCCCGCACGGAACAACACTTTGTGTGATCCACAAATTGTTGTTTCGGGTCTGGGTGTCATTGTGTATGTGAACTTGTATGTTTGTAAACGCACCCACGACACAGGAGAAAATCCTAATGTGGGACAACGTTTTTTTTTAAAGAAAAAGCAAAGTATTATCAGGAATCAAACCCGAAACCCCTTTGCTGGGTTAATCTTTAAAGATGCCGTCAGAAGGATAACAAAATATTTAATTATTATTGCGTTCGATTTAACTTAAAAAAAAAAGTAAATAATTAAAATATCTTGAAACATCCAAATAGTGAAACACTCGTTACATCGGTAGACACAGTTTTCACATCGTTGCCAACAATGCAGTTGGTGGATAGCACAAGACGGTTAAAACGTTTTCACATACCCTACTACTACAATAAATTGAGTGAAAACGAAGTTGATACTGGAACTTTAAAAGGAAGAGTTTCTTGCTCATTTTACTCTTTTAAGCCCATTTATTATCGGTACTAAACAGACTACACTGCCTAGCCCACTTGGCACACACCACTTGACCTTGAAAATCTCTATAATGGTGCGGATCATGGAATTGTGCCCAACTAACGGCAATACATTAAAGCCCATCTAAACTAACGTAATTGGTGCAATGTGTTGCATTTCAAAGTGCACCTCTATAGGTCAACACTGCCTTATACCAAATTATAGGCCAAGCCAAGATGTACTCATTTCAAAATTACTCCAAAACACCTTTCGTTAACCTTATGTTAATCCAGATAATTTCGTTCAGACAATCAAGGGCAGATAGCCTTACAGATTAATTGTTCATTAACAGAATTGTGTTTACAACTTCAGATGAAAGCGTTAAAATCAGGGTTTAGTCTTGAAGTATGATTATTTTAACGCAAGAACATAACAATATACAATTTATAACATATCGACCCTAACCTAACAGGTAGAAAACAGGACTTCCTAAATAAAATGGCGAAGCTATAAAATATAGATTATTTTATATCTCCAAATCTTAGCAGCTAGCTAAAAATGAAAAAGATGCCATTTACAGTTTATTCATCTCCGTAGTCTAAAGTAAAAATATTTTCGTTGATTTGCCTTTGTAGAATCGTAGATATATCCCAATTAAGTGATTAATAATGTATGTAATCTTTATCAAGATTAGCACTAACTACTTACGTGTAATATTATGTTTCATTAGCGAGAAAACTCAGAAAAATACCTTTTCATTTACAAATGTAGCGAGCGATCAGTCGTTCAATTAATATATTACATAAACGAATCATTTAATAACACAGATATCTCATCGAACTAATCACAGCAATATTTATTATATTTGGTTCATTTTTGCCGAAAAACAATTGCTATTTGTTTGGGGAAAATCCCGCAATGTTTACATTCTTACAACACTTCAATATTAGGAGGGTGTTTTTAGGAATATCAGGTTTCTTAAACAAAAACACAACGTTAAATCATAAGCCACATTTGTGTGTATTGGATTTGCGAAATAACTTTTCCTACAATTTCCGAATCCGTAAGTAGATAAAATAGTTATTACACTCACAATTGAAATTACAGCTAAGACTTACCTTCTTGTAGACGGACTGGTATGTCGTACCCATTTTAGGGCCAGTAGACTTCAGAGGAAAGCGCTCCATTACTGCATCTGCCACAAAAACATACTGTTTGAACATATAAATATAACACACAATTACATATTCAGACATGTTATAGCTATAGCATATAGGTGTGGAAGAGCCATGCTTCTGCGCGAAGAAGTGATAATAATAACATGGCCACACAGAAAACCAGCGTGAAAGAACGCTTTCATTGTTTCGAAACAATTCCTCAATCTTCAACACTCAAATACTCCAAAAAGCTGGCAACGCACTTGTCAATCACGAGATCCGTCTGCTCGTTTACCGTAGCCATCGTATACCATAAAAAGGGATGCTAGTAGAGGAAGAGCCTTGTAGTTTCTGCCTATCCCATAGGATGTAGTCGTGACTATATACATATGTCATGTATTTAAGTTGTAGTAAGACAGATAATAATATTTGGTCCAACAAGTTAGTAGCAACTATGTCACAGATAGTTCATACATATTACATTCTTAATTCAAATCTGGTACATACATAGCCGCTTATTAAAGGGCCAAAAACGTAGATGTTTATTGCAGTATCCTCAAATCTTATCTTGTTGCACGCTGTATAATTGTATAATTATTTAATATTTTGCCATGTTTTCTATTTCAATAATTTCGTCTCGATTTATCAATAAGTATTTTTCTTAGAAGTACTTTTTCTAATACAATCTTAATTGCGGTTATGGAAAATGGCGATATTAAATAATGATGATTATTAATTATTTACTTCAGACATTAAATTGATTCTAAACAAAAATGAATATTTAAACAATAAAACAAAACACATATTGTGCGTTTGTTCCTATTTAGAATACATTGTTATTTTAGAATTATCCTTACTATTATAAATGGGAAAGTGAGTTTGTTTGTTTGTTTGTTTGTTCCGCCTTCACGCCGTAACTTCTAAACTGATTGCTTTGAATTTTTGCAGATGTAAAATTAGAAGTCCGGATTAAATAATAGGGTACTTTTTATCCCGGAAAATTTTGGTATTCCCGAGGGAAAACAAAAGAATTGGTATAGATGGCGCTGTGTGTATTAGTATAGGCTACTTTTATCCTTTTGTAACGCAAGCGAAGCCGCGGGTAAAAGCTAGTACACAATAAGTCCTTTGTATGATTGATCAATCGATTTAATATTTTTTATTCAATTACCCCCTTTACTTAACTTTTTAGGTTTTACTGCGTGTGAGGCACGTAATATTTTTTGCGATAGATTATCCAGATACTACTTTTCTATTACTAAGTACTGTAAGTAAAAGGTTGTAAGTTGTTTTGTCTAGTAGTAAAAGTGAAGTTTTCGTAAGTTCTGCTCATCCGAGGAGAGATTAATCGTGAGTACCATTCCTACTTTAAACATTTAGAAACATTAAACTGTCAAACACCAAGCGGTCCCCGGTGACCGCAACCTATTGTTCTTTAATTGTGTCTATAAATACGGTACTCGACGAGTTAATAGGTATAATTTTTCAACTTAAAACACATTTCATCGTGATACAAAAAGTTTTATACCAAGTCTTGTAGTATTGTCACTTGAGTATCGTCTTGGGTCAATCAAAGTATGAAAAGTACAAAAATAGGATATTCAATAATTGAGTTACTAGGCTGTCTCATAACCATATTCGAATCGACTGCAACATTGTAGAAAATTGACTGTACAAAGAGTCGCTCCACTGTTATTGGATAGTTGCATATAATGTGATACACGTTCGAGTCCCCGTCCCGGACTAAATTGGCACTATTGTGTGAAGCGGATGATTCATGTACTGGCGAATCAGGACCAAGAGGCTATTACATCAATCAATGCCCATACGCATCAAGAATAAATCGTTTTATTATACCTTTTATCATAACCATACAAAAGCAGAATGTGTGTAACAATGACAGTTATCGTAGCTACCATAAAGTACAAGAGATGTCTTATTTGAAAAATTCAATTAATTGATGTCTAATAAGTGGGTGTAACTAAGAAAGTGCAATTGATAACTTAAGATTCGAATTCGGAGCTACATACCATCATCTTGCTAACTATTTGCATCAACCTTCTGATTTTCTTCAAGTAATAAGTTTTTATTGAATATCTGTGTCAATCAAGACAACAGACAGTAAAACTAATAGAATAATGATTAACCAACCAATGGTGAGTGTCACCTTTTGAATTACCATTTATCTTATAGGAATACTGTAGAAAAAATATCCAAGCATCCAACATAGAGATTTTACAAAATGAATTGAAAATAATTACAACAATTCAATTATTTTGATGGAATTTTTGAGATGTACTTTACTTCTTATTTATTTATCATTTGTCCTTATTTAGTCCTAATATTTACTTAATTAAAGAAAAGCATAAAATAAATTATAAAATTAAACAAACAAATAAAATCTAGACTGTAGTTACTGTTCCACATTAGGTATGTAACTCAACCTTTCAAAGGTTATTGCAACAAAGCATTTCCCACTTAAAATTGATTTAGCACCCCTCCACAGATCTCACAAGTGAATCTAAATAACTATGCACATCCTGCTTTATCTGTTGAGCGAAGACATGTACATCTGTTCATATCGACAATACTGAATATAGTGGCTCAGTCAGTAGTGGACCAGACATACGGCACAACTCACTGTCAACCAAGCATCGGTATGCATCAAATACTTGTTTCTTTCTATATATTTAACCACAATCTCATTAATTGTAATAGCTTGGCTTTCTTAATGCTTTTTTAATTAAATTTCCATTTGTTAACTAATTAGAATCAACTAAGTACTATTATATTCAGCTACATCTTTAATAGATAGGTGTAATTAAAGTTGTATTTATTAAATGCAATTTGGACGCATAGAGTTGATGCAACAATTATGAATCGGGAGAGTATTTTGTTAAGTAGTGTTTTGAAACAAAACCTTCAGTGCTGTTCTAATGGCATTATGGAATATATTCATATTATCATGCTTAAATTTGTAATTTTGTTGTCAATTTAGCAACAGTACTTACTCCACTGAACTTACATGTTACTGCAGCTCTGTACTTTACAATAACTAGCCATAGCATAATTAACATAATCTAGTATAGTAAGCAATATCAGATTAAGGAAAATCATTTTTCTTTTTTCATCCTCTCATTACAGGGATGATTCAGTACTCTGATTAGAATAGAGTAGGTTTCCATCACTACTTACTAAGTCACTTTTTAATATTACATGGGTTAGTGCAACACTATTAACAACAATAACTGAGGGTTATATGTATTGATTGTCCAACCCTTTCCAATAGGTTCATGTTAGAAATATGTTTAAATAGGTTATATTTTATATTGTATGAAGTGTACTGAAAATGTAAAAACATTAAATTCCCCTCATTTTGAGTTCCAACATGTGGATTATAGACATTAAATAAATAAAGTAACAATAAATTGTAAACAATTACCTAGGTATTCAAAAGATATTTTGTTTAAGTGTAGTCATGTGTGATACTAACAATAGTAGTTAACTTAAATATTTTTCTGACTAAACACCACACATTTTACCTGCAGTACAGATTTTCCTTATAACAACATACATATATACATAAACTCACACTTGAGTACCTTAGGAGTTGTCAGACACCAGGGGGTCATGTATCACAATCCTTACATACATTTCTAGAATATTTTTTAGATGTTTGAACTTTTTTTGCACATCAATATTACAATTTTGTCTGAATAAGTTTGGATTGCTTAGAAAAATATACAAAAGGATCTAATTAAAGTGAAAACCACAGGAAACAAAGTATAGTTCCATTAATATTACAAAACATACAGTATTAGTGTTTAACAAAGGCCTACCCCTGGATGTTTAGGGGGTTTCTAATGTCCCTATGCTTAGCAGACTGTTTGAGTGTCACAGTTAGATCACTGTACACCTACACATTGATAGAAAATATCATATTTGTTCATACCTCACATGAGGAGACTCATTATATAAGTATTGATTTATAATTAGCTATAACCATAATTTCATATAGGTAAAAAAGTATTCAAAGTATTGAAAATTTTAGAAACATAAATCTCACAATATTTTGTCGTCCAATTAAGAATGTAACTCGACTAACAAGGCCGATTCCGCCGACATTAAAATCGCAACATTTCCTGTTTAATGATTTGGTACATTTTATCGATTTTAATTTACGCAAATGAATACAGCAAAGGATATGGCTGTTTAAAATAATAGCTAAGTGTGCCTATCTCTAGGTATTGGCTTATTCGTTCTAAACGCCCCCTAACTTTATAGCATAATTTGGTACCAGTACAGCATCCAACAGTCAAACTGAACATCGTCGCCATAATTATTAACATAACTAATACAACGTAACACAAACCATATTAAGATCTTTATTCTTTCAAAATAAATCAGTAATCATAATCATCTCATGTTATTGGCCAAGATTTAAAATACGCAGGCACATACTAACCTAACACAAACACATCCTAGGACCCCCGAATTGCAAAGTCTTAACACTTTTCCATTTAAATAGCACTTTTAGGAAGTTCAGGCACACCAAGAAATAGTTCGATATTAAAAACAAGTGTTTTTATCACGGACGTGAACCGAAAATTCACTGAAATTCGCTGACCGATCAACTTCACTGACTTGAGAAGTCAAAACATGACACATTGACACTTGACAATGACAGCCGAACAGATTAAACATAGACGAAAAACGTAATTTGTGATTAATGTTGCTATTTTGTTGCTATATTAATCATTTTTATAGTAAATAGAAACTCAAATAATATTTTAATTACGATATAAAATGGGACGGTTTTAATTTTAATGAACTTAAATTATTTAATCAAATAATTATATTGCACAACTACAGATTAAGTGTTGTCATTTCTAACTGATGTTTATCTACCTACATTGTTATCACAACAGCAAGTAACTGGTGGCGGTGACTGACTCCGTTCATAATAAAAATGTCGTGAATTGCAGAATATGGTTAAAAAATCCAGAAACAAGAAAAAGAAAACAGCTGAAAAAGTCGAAATGCAAGTCTCATCATCACAGGCGCAGGGACCGCCTTATTTTAGCGGCGTACCAGTATCTCAAGTTGTTGGAGGTCCAGCACCACTAAATACAGAGCCGAGTATGTTTCACTTGGACAACATGGAACTGAATCTGCTTAATTTAGGAACGAGTTTTCCTAATTTTGGAGCATCGCTGCCACATTATTTCGACCCTTTGGTAAGTGGAATAAAAATAATATTTATTCTCGGACCACATAAGTTTTTTTTTTGAGCTGTTTGTAATTTTATTTTATATGCTAATCATTTTCACCCATGTTATTTGTGCACATTTCGAATGATACTTCAATGTAACTTGCAACGTAACTTACATTGCTATTCTTATTATTAATATCATCAAAATCATCATCATCACAAGCTATAACAACCCCATTCCGTTCATAACTAGACATAGACTCTTTAATTAGCACGCCACTGAATTCTTCAATTCTTTATGTCGAACCACTTTCAGTCCCTTTACAGAGGTAAAGAAATATAAAGTTTGCAGTGAAATATCGATCTAGCTACTTAGGCCATGACCCAGCTAAAAATAACCTTTTTCCAGGTACTGCTTCATCTACATAGTATATTTATGCGCTTTAGTTGCTTTTGTACCATACAAAACTGTCTTGATGCCTGTTTAGTCGCAAATTCGACTGCTAAGCAAAGAATATCGGGTTCGATTAAAACCATTATTAGTGTTTTTTTCTTAATAATTCCATTAATTAATGAGCCCTCTCTGTCGGAGTTTTTCTACAGCCTCAAAGAAAATCGGTGTGTATTCGTGTATTCGTATTGCGTATCCGTCACTCCCAAAAGTCTGGCAGCACATTTGATATTCCTATGGTGTAGATACTAGTCCCTGTTTCATCGCTGCGCGCGAGTAACAAATATATTACGGACGGTCTCTAGCAAAATGCCGTATCATGTTAGCAGAACCACCTTTGCTTTAGAACAAGTATAAAGTATACCTCATGATCAATATCCATCAGCCTATAAGTAACTGATGACCAAAAGCCTCTTCTCACACGGAGAAGGCTTATTATCTACTTAATATCCAACTATTATCAGAAATTATAAGACCAGATTTTCTCACGATGTTTTCCTTCATCGTTGGTCAGTCATCATCATCAACAGCCTATAAATGCCCACTGCTGAGCAAAGCCTCTTCTCACACGGAGAAGGTTAGAGCATTAATCACCACTCTTGCTCAATGCGGGTTGGCGATTTCAAACTTATAATTAGAAATTATAAGTCCAGGTTTCCTCACGATGTTTTTCATTCACCGTTGGTCAGTGGTGTCTAAATAATCTTAGAAAGTACATATAACTCGTAAAAAGTCACATTTGTACTTTGCCGTTGGTAGGTTTCGAACCCGGCACCCTCGAGCATGAGAAGCGGGCGTCTTAAGCCTCTGGGCCAAACGAAAGTATACCGTATGTTATTTTCGAAGTAATTGAGTATAGTGAACTCATCTAATTCTGTGACTCGCCTAATAATTCGTTTTAGTAAATTTGGTAGAACTCTTAGGTTTCTAGAAAAAAATCTGATTATTTGTGCTAATATTCCTCATAAAAGACTGATTAAAACTCATGCGGAGACTGAATTAAATTAATTAATAATTTATTGGTATTATATTACTCAAATGCCTTTGTCACGAAGTTAGATGAGTTCACCCTACTGCCTTAATCAAAAGGAGAGGACTCATTTAAGGAATGCGATCTTTATCGAGGATACAAGTTTAGCATAGTATTGTTATAGAATGACTTGATAGGTACCTACTATACCTTTCTTTAATTATTCTATGTGTAGTACCTAATTGATACAATCCAGCAACCGTGGTGGTTTCTGCAAGGACATCGAATTTACACTTGTAAAGACTTTAGTTACAGGACTAGAAATTTCTAAATATTATTGTTTGTAGATAATGGTGCGGTCAAGGTACATAACATAAAATACCACGCTTTATTATCCTAGTAGAAGTGGGTCAAGATCTATTGTCACGGTGCGTGGGTGCAAGTGCACTTCGACCCTTGCTACCTGTGTAGGGGATTAAAACCCGTTAGGTTACGGTAATACTTCAACAGCCTATAATAAGTGGCCACTGCTAACAATAGGCCTATTCCCACGTGAACTATTTTTTTTTGTTATCGGGATAGGGGACTTATCTAAGGAATGCGACCTTGCGATATCTCGACCATTGTTAGCGAGATTAATCTTTATTGTTATTTGATAGTTTCGCACGTCAAAGTGGAAGTAATAAGAGTGAATACTTCAAATTCAACAAAAACTCTAGCTTCCTGCCTCCGACTTCGTCCGCATAACTTTAAGCAGAATTCATTTATTCCAATTTTAGAGGAAAATATTGCGAAAGTAAAGGATTATCTTATAGTTCTATTATTTTCTTCTAATATATTCAAATATTATAGTTATTTGCAAAAAATAATATACAAAACTTCCAATCCCGCGAGATTTCTCTTTGGTGAAAGAGGAGTGATACATTTTTGAATGTGTGACTAGTGCCTACCATAGCGTGGTATAAAAAGGGTGATGTTAAAATATGTACGGGTGTAGATACTTATCTATGCAGCATAATCATAATGAAGCAAATTCATTGATAGGATTTTAGGTTCATCGCTTCCTTGCGGAATTGGCTTTGCTTTAACATGTATAATGGCATCATCACCATCAACAGTGTATGAGTGACCACTGCTGATCAAAGGCCTCTTCTCGCACGGAGAAGGTATGAGCATTAATCTCCAAGCTTGTTCAATGCGGGTTGGCAATTTCAGACATCTAGAAATTATAAGACCTGTTTTCTTCACGATGTTTTCCTTTACCATTTGTAGTGGTGTCTAAATAATCTTAGCAAGTACATAACTCGGAAAAAGATACTTTGACATTGGTAGCTTTCGAACCCGCATTCTCATGCATGAGAAGTGTGTGTCTTTTACTTTTGGCTACTACGTACACAAACCATAACTTCATCACGACTATTATCCCCGAATGAGGTGCACCTCTACCAACTCTACCATACCATCTATCATACCATCTCCCATACCAAATGGCGTAATGTGCACATTATGCCATTTAATGCCACTGTACAATGTAACACCCACTTTTCAGTATTTATGCTATGAGTCCCATGTAATAGGAGCTGAGCCTTTTGCCATATACTGGCCAAAATTCCAGACTCCGTGCTACAAGTAAGAATTATTAAAAAAAATAACAGTAAGTTTTTAAAAAAAATTCTCAGTACCCGCCCGGTACATGGCTATACGCTCACCCCTATTACATGAGACTCATAACATAAAAAGTGAAAAAGTAGGTGTTACATTGTACAGTCGCATTAAGTGCCATAATGTGCACCTCTGCCTATCTCTTCGGGGATAAAAAGGTGTGATGTTATGTTATGTAATGTTTACGTGAAATAATATTCTTCCTGGCGTTTATTGCATCAATAACTAGCTACTTTTGCGCGGTTTCGCCTTCTGCTTCTATAGGCTGGAGCGTGATGTTTTAGCATAGGCTATGTATATGTATAAAGCCAGGGCTTTCCTCGGTAAATGAACTATCCAACACAAAAATAATTATTCAAATTGGACCAGTAGTTCCGGAGATTATCCGTGATCCGTGTTCAAACATAAAAGCAAACGAAATCTTCAGCTTTAATAATACTAGCGATTAGTGACTCTATAAAAGTTATAATATCTAAGTGTAAGCGTAAGCATGGAAAAGTATGTCACTTTTCCATGTGTGTTAGTCTAAGTAGGGATAAAATATATATAATTGTGTGCCATAAGTTAGATTAGAGGGTTCGATGTGAGGGCTTCTAGTTCGTTGAATTATTTGGTATTATGTCTTTGGTTATTCTATGTACAGTAATTGATATAATTCGCGGTGGGTTCGCGCGGGAAGGATACTTGACGGATAGATATTCTCAACGCAACCGCTATAATAGTTTGAATCAACAATTGGGTACCTACTTGCCAATAATTAAAAACAAGTTTTTTCGAACTGTCAAAACGACAGTTTTCTATGAATTTTGTACGAGGTTGTGTACGTGTGTGACGTCACGTTTGTTTAGCGTCAAAGAGCTTTCTTATTTCTTAAATAAAATGCTGCGTAAAATAATAGCGAAATAATTAATTTATTTGATTAAGGAAGTACCTAATTACTTCGAAAATAGCATATCGCTATACTTTCGTTTGGCCCAGAGGTTTAAGACGCCCGCTTCTCATGCTCGAGGGTGCCGGGTTCGATACCTACCAACGGCAAAGTACAAATGTGACTTTTTCCGAGTTATGTACTTGCTAAGATTATTTAGACACCACTACAAATGGTAAAGAAAAACATCGTGAAGAAAACAGGTCTTATAATTTCTAGATGTCTGAAATTGCCAACCCGCATTGAACAAGCTTGGAGATTAATGCTCATACCTTCTCCGTGCGAGAAGAGGCCTTTGATCAGCAGTGGTCACTCATACACTGTTGATGGTGATGATGCCATTATACATGTTAAAGCAAAGCCAATTCCGCAAGGAAGCGATGAACCTAAAATCCTATCAATGAATTTGCTTCATTATGATTATGCTGCATAGATAAGTATCTACACCCGTACATATTTTAACATCACCCTTTTTATACCACGCTATGGTAGGCACTAGTCACACATTCAAAAATGTATCACTCCTCTTTCACCAAAGAGAAATCTCGCGGGATTGGAAGTTTTGTATATTATTTTTTGCAAATAACTATAATATTTGAATATATTAGAAGAAAATAATAGAACTATAAGATAATCCTTTACTTTCGCAATATTTTCCTCTAAAATTGGAATAAATGAATTCTGCTTAAAGTTATGCGGACGAAGTCGGAGGCAGGAAGCTAGAGTTTTTGTTGAATTTGAAGTATTCACTCTTATTACTTCCACTTTGACGTGCGAAACTATCAAATAACAATAAAGATTAATCTCGCTAACAATGGTCGAGATATCGCAAGGTCGCATTCCTTAGATAAGTCCCCTATCCCGATAACAAAAAAAAATAGTTCACGTGGGAATAGGCCTATTGTTAGCAGTGGCCACTTATTATAGGCTGTTGAAGTATTACCGTAACCTAACGGGTTTTAATCCCCTACACAGGTAGCAAGGGTCGAAGTGCACTTGCACCCACGCACCGTGACAATAGATCTTGACCCACTTCTACTAGGATAATAAAGCGTGGTATTTTATGTTATGTACCTTGACCGCACCATTATCTACAAACAATAATATTTAGAAATTTCTAGTCCTGTAACTAAAGTCTTTACAAGTGTAAATTCGATGTCCTTGCAGAAACCACCACGGTTGCTGGATTGTATCAATTAGGTACTACACATAGAATAATCAAAGAAAGGTATAGTAGGTACCTATCAAGTCATTCTATAACAATTCTATGTTAAACTAGTATCCTCAAATTCAATCTAGGTTACTGTTCACTCACGAAGTGTAGGATAAAGCCCAGGCTTGGCGGGCATGAAACTTATCGCAGATTTTTAGTACTTACCAATGACTCTTTAATAAAATGCTACATAGGTGGCATCATCGAAATCGATGATTAGGTAAGAAGTTTAATATGTTAATGGCATCGGATTAACGTTCAAGTATTTTACAATTCGCGTTGGTTCCTGGTACCTGTTGCTACCGACCCTTTAAAGTTTAAAAGATACGATTCTTGAACAGGTTGGTGGGTGATTAGTGTAGGTAATTGAAATATTTTGTAATTAGCATAAATATTTGATGGCGAAAATTATGTATTACATAATAACTTATTATAATTTACAAGAGATAACAATTATTGAGGACTTACGCAAGTTAAGGAATCATACAACGGAACCTGCTCAAGAAACTAAGTATTCTTTATACAATGTCGTTTAGGGGGGAGCATTTTTGATTGCCGATATCACTTAGTTTGAAACGGTGCTGGTGGTACGATTTCATTGGATTACCATAGTAGGTATAGTTTAGTTATTTGTACTTATACCCCAAAATAATAGCCAGCGGACTAATGATACGCTTCTAATGATACCCCATTTATCAAATTATACCCGGTAGTTTAGGAGTTAGGAGGGAACAGATGAACATACATACACACATATCGGTCAAAATCATAACCCACCTTTTGGCTTCGCCGTAGTCGGGTAAAAACAATGCTTTACATAGAAACTGATGGTTAAATACGAAGATATTGCTATTTATCTTTGATTTATTAAATGTAGAGTACTAATTATCGATATGTCATGGTGGTTTCACCGAAAAGGACTAATTTAAATGAACAAATTTAATACATCGAAACAAGGCTACACTTGTTTATATTTAGGAAAGTTGATTCCGACATCCAGCATAACACGGTTTTAAGAGGAAAATACATTATTTGAGGGTAAATAACTCTCATAAATATTTTTCCTGTACGTAACTTACGCGAGCTCTCTTCTATACTTCATATTGTGCAATACAGAGGTATTATACTGCTTGAACGCGCCAAACATGTAGTTAGGTATCACAGGCGAAAGGAGCACTCACAATATTACTAATTCTACCTCTAGGACAAGTTATTTATATAAACAAATTCCTTAACATAAGTAATCGATCAAAAGTAAAGTTGATTATTTAATATACATTCACACGTAGGTACATAATATTTTTTAATTATCTAACTGACGGACTAACAACTTAGATTTCTAATTTTGATACCCTGGAATCTACCCAATTGTTTACTAACTATATGTAATCCGTCTAATTTCGATAAATATCGATTTGGTACGTAGGTATGACTTTAATCAAAATTGATTCACCTAGTTAGTTTATGTGGTTAATTATAGTTTCATGTCATGAACTTAGAATTGAAAGCATAAGTAAGACCGTCGCCGGTCATGAAGAACGGCTTACCATGGGTAAATGGCTTCTGACCTTCGATCGTATTAGATTGGTAGGTATCGATTGAAGTACAACTGTAATATAATAATTATCTCGTTTTTAAGGGCTAACGAGAAATACCTACGAATTTTAAATGTAAAAAAACATTCTTCACGGTGACAGAGTGGTAAAGTAATGGATAATTAATTTATTATTGGGCAGGCTTCGTATTATTTTTGATAGAGTTGATAGTAGGAAAAAAATCTATAAAAGGGATTCATTAGGAAGCGCCCTAGAAAAATATGTGCTGACCTCGCTCGGCACGTTGTATTAAAAAAGGCCACGTGCGGAATCTTTTACGGTGCTTAACCCGCGTGGTGTTTATTATAACCAGCGTCCACGAAAGTGTAGGGAGCCTATGAAATCAGAAGTATGTCAGTATCGTACTAGGTGGCGCTCTATAAGAAAATCAGTATTTTTATGCTTATCAATATTGTCTACATAACTTAATTATTATGAATAATTAACTCGAGTGCAATACGTAATGTTATTAAATTATTTTATTCATTTAAAATTCCTTCATTCACATCAAATGAAGAATCGTGGCTGCTTACTTTTTTACAACACTAGGCTAGTGCCTAAAGACGGAATCGGTATGCTTCTGGCACGCTAGGATATGCTAAGTCTCAGTAATATGTTTCAGCATTAGCTTTGAATGTATTAAAGAAAACGAAAAATATTTTTAATATCCCAATATATTTTTACCTATGTAGAAATCTCCCAATTATTTCTTTGTAATAATATCGACAACTATTCTATAACAAACTCAACATTTATTGCTATAACTTGAAAACATACATAAAATATTAAATCTATTATAAATAATTATGCTACTTAATAAAAATATACAAACTAAATCAAAGTATGATTAAAATATGAATAAAAACTAAAACGTTTCCACCTTACGTATTGTACCTAAAAAAATAATAATAACTAGCTTATTCAAATTTCATTGAGGTTAGTAACTTAGTAACTTTTTTTAATTATCTATAATCATAATAATTATCTATTTTATTTACCTGTAAATTGTATGTTGGTAAAACCACTAAATTTCCTAATGTTGGTAAAACTCATTATCAAATGTTGGTACATTCATTAAATCGATAAACCGATTTTTACCGATTAATCCGGTTTATTCCCAGCGCTAACCATATCCGATGATTTGTATAAAATGGCGTCAGCCGAGTTTTTAGAACAGGCTTTGTCCACAAACGTTGATGAGAACGCCGTTAACGCGATAGTAGGTTCATTAGAAAATCAGTTAGTCACGTCAGTCGCGTCGGCGTCGTCCCAAAACAATTACGTAAATGTTATTCCGTCTCAAAATTGTAATATAACTCCAAACGCGGGCTCTATAATAAGTGGACAAAAATATATGACTGACCAAATTAATTCTAGTGGTTTAGTGAATAGTGTTCAACCTAATATAGCATCCTCAAGTGTAACATTTAACAGTGTACAAGCGTCAACACAGCCAACATTTACTTCTCTGTCATTAAGTGGCTCTCCTCTAACGAATGAGTCATTGAAAGTGATATACACACAAGCACAACATCTTGGTAACTTGGGTAGCGGCGTCGCGCTCCCAGTTCAGTCGTTGGCTAGCACTTGCATCGGGCAGACGTCGCAGAGCCAGATTTTACACGCGGTTTCGGGCGGCAACGTATTACCACAACAGAGCAACAAAACAATCGCCATGCAGAATCCTCTCGTCATTAAGCAGGGCTCAAACACTGGCCAAGTGGGTATGCAGACTGGAATGGTGACTGTACCAATGACTGTGAACTCTAGCATGCCTGCTTCAATACCTAATGTGATGACACTGAACAAGCCTGGAGGGCAGAACGTAGTAGTGACCACACAGAATTTAGGCTCCGCGCAGCCTGCTATCATCCCCAATGTCCAAATATTAAACATGAGACCTGGAGCGCCCGCAGTGGCGGCTCAGAAGTCAGTAGCTACAGTATCACCCAGAGTGGTGATTGGTACGCCTCAAGTTGTTGGTACGAGAGCAACTGCTCCAGTAAGTTTCAAGTCTGTCAACTGAGTACAGACATTTTGCTCAGTTTAAATAATAAGCTCATTCAGTAACTCTTGTACAGACATTTTGAGGCTGACGGAACACACTTGTGTATGTGGATGTGAATCTGACTTCACCTCCCAAGATCCTCTCTATTGTGATTGTTGTATAACCTACAAATTCGTAAGTACTAATATAATTAAGCTAAATGCCCTTGAATACCATGTGTCACAGAGTATAGACACTTCTGCTACCAGGTTTGTTTATATGTCTGTTGCAATGTTCTGTCAGTCTCAACTTGCACTATTAACTCACTGTTCTGTAAAAACACCATGCTTTGTATACAAGATGCCTGTAAAGCAGCATATTAATGTCACTCTGGGCTATCTTACTTCACTTTCAACTTACATCCATCTTAAATGATCAGCAATCTCTTCTGTCTATAAGCCTGTAATATTTTGCTTTGCTGGTCATTTTTCCATAATCACTATCATTGACACATCATCTTTAATTTGGAGGTGATTTACACATATGATATTGAGTAACACACATTTTCCTTTTCATCTCATATTGCATGTATGGTCATTTAATTGTATGGTTGAGTCAATGAAGAAACATCAAACATTTTCAAAATTATTATTTAAAATTGTAGTTTTTAGTGTGCTTTCAAAAGTAATTTCTTTAATTTTCTAGTGATATTCATAATAACTATTTAAATGATGTTTAGTGATGAATAATATCTCATTCCCTAATTGATTACTTAGTTTAATGCTAATTGATTACATTAATGCATAGTTCAACCTGTTGATCAACAAGTAGACTAGTAGATATAACTCTATTTCTTCATTTCATTGACTCTACTACAAGATGTATTGATGTATTGATGTGCTCTACAGATTCAATTGAAATTTCTCAGCAACTGTGCTTACAATACACTTCTTAGAAATTTGATTAAAAATACCATGTGGTAATTAATTTTAATGACCACTTAAATGAGTATTATGAACAATACCTAATTATACCATGCTTAATGTTATGGTAATGTAATTTACCTGTAAGGTAATCTATTTTTGTGTATTGTAACTAAATTAGTCATTTGATAGCAAAATTTTCATTTTTGTTTTGAAAGAAAGGGTTCCAAAATTTTAGACTCTCTATTTTGCATTATCTATTAACTTTAATATTTTGTGGTATTTTTTGCATTACCACTTAATGTCATTTTATGGTATTTTTGTGTTTCATTTGTAAGAAACTCAATTTACAAAGTAGCATAAAAAGAATTTCTGTTTTGTAAGCACATTTGCAGAGAACAATTAAATGTTGTTGCAATATGAGTAAATATAACTCTAAGCTTGGGATTAATCAATTAATATCTTCCAAATTTCAGTGTAAAAATAATCATTGGCCCTAAATATCATCAGTTAAGGTGTGAAGCACCTACATTAAGTACAAAACTCAAGCGTATGTTTGATACTCATGGTAATATTATGGCATTGATATGTCTCCCAATGTTCCATTAGCTTTGCACGGCTTGGCAATGGAATGTTGGGTATGTAATGCTTGATTGTACAAACTGAATCTAAATGTACTAAAGTGTGCCATGTAAATTTATGTGCTAAATGGGCTTTGACTATATTTTAGTAATTACCGTGGTAAACACGAGCTTACACCATGCTAACCCCAAAATTCCAATGAATCCCACACTCAGTTTTATAAATGTTGTTGTTACACAAACATATTAATGTTTACAACTAAATCCACTAAATGTGTTATAATCTAACAAATGACCTGCTTTAGAAACATATTCTCAGACTTAATTTATTGGAATACGACACGAGTTTTTGAACTGGCTTGAATGAGTTCAATAAAATTGAAACTAGGCTATCATTTTTAGATAACGCTGCAAACTCTGCAGAGTCTTCAACCGGGACAGCAGGGTCATTTGTTGTTAAAGACTGAGAATGGTCAATACCAGCTCCTGAGGGTGGGCCCCGCGCCCGCGGCCAGCACTCTCACGGCGCCGCAGGCTCAGACCATCCGGCTGTCTACCGTGCCGGCAGTAAGTAGGCACAGCCAATCCGCTACTCACCCCGCGCTCTCATAGAAATTGGACAATGTTTAGCACTCTGTTTTATATTAGTCCCTCCTCTTAGAGGAGAAGTGTTTATAGTTTGTCCAATTTCAATCTCGATCATGCATGTAACATAATAAGGTGGAGGTGCATGCAGTAAGGTTTTTAACAAGGTAAGATTGTAATCGGATCGTCATGATTGTGTATAATCTAATACTAATTACCTATGAACTCTTCTAGTTCTAGTGTTAGGCGCAAACATGACAGCCAGGTGATGAACGCGACCGATTCGTGGCTAACTTTCGCTCGCTTGCGTTTCTTGCTACGGCTATTAATTAATCATTTGAAGCTTTTAAAAAAAATATCGAGTGATGCAAAGTTGCTAGATAAAACCTTATGGGTTTATTTGTTTTTGTGTAAATTGGAGTTTGAGGCTTTTCAAAGAAAAATAATTGGAATTTTAAAGAAAATAATGTTTTGCGCCAAACATTAAAACATCCTAAATACATATATCCCAACCCTGTCACTGCTTGGAATGAACGCTTAGCGCATTTGTGATGGCCTGCTTTGCATGCGTAGTATTGTGTTGTTATGACATATTAATTGTATGGCTTCTGTTCTCACAGCATCCTGGTGTGGCGACAGTCTCTACCAGTGTGGCGGCGCCGGGTCCTATACCGGGGCAGATGCCGGCGCCGCCAATCGCAGCCCCTGTGGTTGCATCAGCCCCAAGTGTTGCGGTCGCTACACCCACACCTCAACAACCAAGTTCTACGACACATATAGTAAGTAGTTTTTTTAATTCCTTTTCACATGTTTATATATTGAACCACGGAGTTACATATATTAGATATTTACATTGCTGTCTGATGTGGTAAGCTTGTCTCCACCCAGGGTAGTCATGAACTCGTTATGATCTATCTCAAACAACTGAGCCTCATTTTCACACGAAATGACCGAAAGCTATACCTATCTATATACCTTCTGACAAACCAGTCGTCGCACACTAGTCAAACCACTTTAATAGTGTCGTATATATATATATATATATGTATATTATTGTGATTATGTATGTTGCGGCATTGTGCAACCACGAACTAACAGAACTCTAACCGATGTGACTCCTTATGCCTAAAAATGTAGTTTCCCCTTCGACAGTTTACTTATTATATTAGTAAGATTTATTTGTCATACATAAGATATACGGGAGATACTTTTGCTGAAACGCAGATAAAATTTAAAATTTTTAAAAATTACGTCGTATGATTTTCGTTTGCGAACAAAATTTGTAAATTTGCGTGTTAGAGCATCGGTTGCGATGGTTTCCAAAACTTTATTCATGAACTTCCAAACCAATGACAATATTCATTATAGTTTCGTATATTGCAGGGTTTTAGCATGTTTGTTGTATTAATTACTTAAGTATAAACAATAACATCAAATAATATCGTAAAAGGTTTTATGTCTGAAACGAAGACAAACAGTTTTAAATATTTTTTTTAATTTTGATCGTCTCGCAATATTATTTATTAGATTTTACATCTTATTACTACAGACAGTGCTTTTGTCAAATGTTAGCGTAAAAAAATAACACGCAGTCTATTGAAAAAGTAACACGTATTCTATTGAAAAGATAACACACCAAAGAGTATTCCGTTGAGACTGGGAACTGTTTTGCGTGGTATTTTATTTTGTACGATTGCGTTAGAAACATGCACACAAACTCATTCACAAACTTTCGCATTTATAATATTAGTTAGATCAGCTATTGAGGAACTTGCGGCATCGATGAATCTGATATTACTTACTTTGAGCGCAATTTGTCTAGGTATTTTTATCTACGGAAAATAAGTAAGTATTCAATATGTAATAACTAATAAATAATAGTTACAAGAATTTTGTTTAATAAAGAACTTAGTTTAATAAATTATGAAATTTCGTGCATTTGCAGTTGCACCAATCTTAACTAAAAGCTCCTCCAAAAATTAAATATGTTTCATAAAACTGCTGTATCTTAGTCTATTAACGCTGACCCAGTGGTCAGCTGCAGTTATATATTAATGAGGTCAGTGACCTGGTCGCGAACGTAAGGGTTGTTGCGGTATCTGGATCAAGGACAACTTAATACTAGTTAATACTTTGATGTCGCGCGATAAATCAATAAACACATGTTTCTTCTTGCTGACATTGTTTTGTTCGATACTTTTTTCGTTGACTGCATCAAATCTCGGGGTAGGTCAGTTACGTAGACATGTAGCATGTATGTTATAAGTGTTGTGATAAGGCTAATATACATGTCGATGATTACTTAATTATTCCAAGTCGAGAAATTAATCACTTTACTCGGACATTATTGACTACCTACCGTACTACTACCATACCGAAATCAAATCACTCAAACAATATGCACTTTAATTTAAATTCTTTAAAATACATTATTAATTGAAATAATCGAATTAATTTCTGTATAATCGTCCTAATTGCTTATTCTAATAATTGATTGCCAATTATTTACCATATAACCAGTGACCATAAAAGTATTAGTAATTTACAATTGCGTTACGTGACCTAGGAGTCGAAAGATATAAATAAAACCTTTATTATTTAACATTAGAGTAAAGAAAATAAAAACACATGTGTTAAGAGAAGTCAGAGTCAGTTCAGAGTATCTATTTCTATATAAATAAGTAACTATAAAAAAATAAACGACGGTTTCAGAACTTATCAAGTCAAGTTACTCTGAATGGATGTTAATATCCAATAGCTATTCTCCTGCGACTTCACCCGCTGATCGGCTCTTATTGGTCATAGCTTCATGTTTTATAGACTATAGCGTTCCTCGATAAATGCATTATCCAACACTAAAAAAAAAAAATCAAATTAGACCAGAAATTCCGGAGATTAGCGCGTTTAAACAAACAAAATCTTCAGCTGTATATAATACGTATAAGATAACCGTAAATTAATGTTTTAAACAATAGAACAAATATGATTTTCGACCTCGTCTCAATGTAACTCAGTATCCAAGCCCTGTGTCCTAATTTATTCGAAATTAATAAATATTGTCTAATTAATAATTATGATTATTACGTTATTCATAGCCACTATGAATTTTTATGTCGATTATCATTGTACTGAACAATATTTTGTTTTCCGGTTTTGATATACTATGTGATATTATAACATTAGACCCAAATTAATACAAATCTTTAAAAAAGAGAACTGTTAATTACGCTGATGACAAAATATCGAAACAAACAAACACGAGCGAGTCTTGCTTCATAAATAAAGCGTGGCGCGCATGCGTGTTGCGTGCGTCCATCGTGATAACGTTCCGAATTGCATTCAGCGCATTAATTTATTGCCGGTTTGATAAAAGAGTCCATTTATTTTATTTGGTGCTTCAATTGCCGAAAATCTAAACTTATTATTTATTTTGTTGACGTATTCTACAAGAATATTATTGCCCTTCATTAACAAATACGAAATAAAGTTTATAGAAAGTCAGTTTTGCATTCGAGTCTGCGTTTATGGAAACTACAAATCAATATTTTATTACAAGCGAAAATAAACGACGTGCCGGATGGGTCCGTAACGCAGGCGCTAAATCATTTGCCGATATTCCTAACTGATAACTGGTGAAGTGCAAGTTTGTGTCTAGTTTTGGAATCTAGTGGAGTTAAACAAGTCAATTAACAACATGGATTACCATTACTACCTAGAACCTGAGCCAGAAATAAGAGTACGTATAGTTCTTGTATCTGAATCAGTTAATTGTAAGTACTTACAGGGTACCCAATATGGTGGCTGCAGGGCTTGGTCTTGCATTGAGTGGTCTTTGTGTAATGAACAAAGTGCAACAATGAAATTAATGAATTTTATAACTTAAATCATAAATTTAAAATAAAGTATTGAAATTATTTGGAACAATATTTGTGATAAATATATATATTAAGAGACAATATCATTGGGAGGTGGACAGAAATCATTTTCACTAAAGATGTGCTATAGTTGTAAACATAATTACATATATCATGAGCACTCATTACATGCATAGTATAATAGGTTTTGGTTTAGTATTAAATTGCTACAAGAGACATGTATTTTTCTCAATACTTGTTGCATTGATATTTGAACGGAACAATTTTCAAACCGAAGTTGTTTATTGCTTCATGACATTAGTTTTCTATGTCCTTGGCTTAAAGTAAAATTAATTCGATACTTCAAAACAACCTGTAAAGTAATTTAATTTAAAGGAAGGCAAAATGTGATATAAAATCTATCTGTCAGTGGTCGCTCAGATAAACTAGTTCCGAGGTATAGATTTTTATGGAGAAGAACGAGCAAGAAACATAAATGTATTTTATTTTATTTTTATGTACTACTATTACTACTATTTATAATCATACACTTATGAATCATTAATTTATTTTACAATTATTTTTTTTCTTTATCCTCAGAAACCATCAGATAACACCAAAGAAAAATGTCGAAATTTCTTAGCGAATTTATTAGACTTATCAAGCAAAGAGCCGCCTTCGGTGGAGATGAACGTAAGGAACCTCATCCAAGAACTAATCGATGCTCAGGTTGAACCTGAAGAATTCTGTGATAGATTGGAACGACTTCTTAATGCTAGTCCTCAACCATGTCTAATCGGTTTTTTAAAGGTAATGTATATTGATCACAAGTTCTATTCGCTTCTAAGTTTTTGTTAATAAGACTATATCTAATCGTTATTTCTTATTTTTTAACAGAAAAGTTTACCATTGCTGAGACAGTCATTGGTCACGAAGGAGCTAGTGATCGAAGGCATCAATCCTCCAGCGCCGCACATCGCCTTCACTAACATACCAGCACCCGTGCAACCAGTCCTTGCAAGTGTTACAAATTCCAACATCTCAATGGTACGTACCACACATATTTTTTGGTGAATGGTGAAAGTCCAACTAACAATATATCAGACTTATTTGATGAAGCAGTCACAGCTTTCACAAACTAATTATGGGACGGGCATTTTGTGGAGTGTTAACACTTTAGCATAATACTGCTTGTTAACCTTAATATGGGTGTAAATTGTAAATGCTTTGATATAATTAACATGGAGAAGGTGTGGTGTGAACCTGTGAGTTGTCGTGTGATTTATGATGACGTTGACAGGAGTAAGAGTAATCTTTTTGTTGTATTTATAACTATTCACTGTGTTTTGAATGTAATTCATTCAGACCCCCTATTCGGTCTAAAGATTACTCTTAAAACTTGTCAATGTCAATACACTAACAATTAATATTTCTTTTACATGGACATACATACGGGTTATCCAAATAGAGCCAATTAGTCAAATTGTAAGACTGTTTTAAAGTATTATTCAAGTATTTTAGATATTTGGTTGGTAGTTTTGGTTATTTTCTAAATATAATTTGGTTTTATGTGGTAAAATAGCGACTAATGAGTCAGAGATTTAACTACTTCTGCTTCTTTAAACATTTGGTGATATATTATCAATCACCACAATAATTTGTAATGCAACAATTATCCAGTAACATTGACATACAACGACATAGGCTTTTAACAATTATGTCAATCACATACATAGACTTATCGCATTTAAGAAATTAGTCAAACGGCGTGTGGGAATAATAGTTGTAGTAGACCCATTTTGACTACTAAGGAAGGTGATGATATTTCCTATCATGGAAACCCAGGTTTTGGTTCCATAAGTGAATACCTATAAGACGATGCATTGCTTGAATATCTTGTCTTAGTGTTTCTTAATAATGATTTGAAAATACACAAGTCCGGCTTCGAGTAGGGTGCCAAATAAGCTTGTCTATGAAACACTTGGTCTCATTCAGATCTCCTGCTCCAAGTACGATAACATGTGCTTTTCTTTACTTTTCTACCTGGTCCATGGTGGTTTGGTTAATGTAATGTTGTTGAATTACATCCATCCAGTCAGCCAGCTGCTGTAACAATACAAATAAAAACCACCATTCTCATGACACCACACAACACGTTGGACCATACAATGTGCGGACGCTCTCTTCAGATGATAGATTGGAAGAATTACTACACCCATGTTCCTCACCACTCTCGTTTGGTGCATTTACTAACTAACCTGTTAGACATTTTATGGCCCTGGAATTTACTTTTTATTCTCCAGAGCTGTATGGCAATAAATAACGAAGTCAACATCAAATCTTAATTCTTCAGTATAATTCCTTCTATATTAAGGCCCAGTTGTTATTTTAAAGATTTTTCTGTTTCAAACTGTCTGAAGTCAGTGTGTAACACTTTGGATTAAGACTTTCTTTCTCTTAGCTCTTTCTAATAGTTTTTCGTTTAGTAAGTTCAAATAAATTTAAAATTACGGTCAATTACATAATGTTTATTAAATTATTTTATATACCAATGGTATATTCAAGCATTTTGTAATGACTGAAATGACTGAATAGAGGTCCACGGCTCACACTACCAAATTCTTAATATAAAAATCCATAAAACTCATATTCTGCTGGTTTTTTATTACAGTTCTCATTAGTCTTCTGTGTTATCAAAACTAGTTATTTTGTAACTCAATAATGTCAGTAACATCTTGAATATTCATTTGCTTTGACAAACCTACCTTTAGTTGTTAATCTGGGTCTCTTATACAATAAATTATGACAGGTGTAAAGTTTAATGCTCTTCTATGCACTGGACTTACATTTCACATGTCTCACTAAAGACCTACACTGAGTAAGGCCTATGTCTGATCATGAGGGAAGTTTATTATGTCATTTGTCATCACACCCTTATAAGCCGAGCTTGGTGGGGACTTGTGCTGTGGTGACATGAATTTATTCACTATACAAATAAATCTGTATAGGAAATGTTGATTTCTATGAATTCAATAATTAATTTAGTACATACTTTTACTCACTGAAGTATGAAATACAATTTGGAAATAGTGATTGTTTCACTTTATGAGACTGATTATAGAGTGTTGAGTCTTGTAGAAACACACGGCTCGTTTGAATGGACAAGTGGGGTAGATAATGTAACGTGGTTAGATAGATGGAGGTGTACCCGTTGTGTGGTTAGTATGACTAATGGGTTGTTTGGGTGGTGTTGGGTTAGCGCGACGAGGATAGCTCGAGCCCCACACTGACGCCCCTCCTGCCGCCGGTGTTGCCTATAGCACTGTCGACCCCCCTCATCAGCTCCACTACAAAGACGGTTAACGTATTACCCGTGACGTCCGCCCCAACGCCTATCGTACAGGTTTGTTGTTCTCAACTAAAGGGCTGCCATCTGCCGCCGGGTAGAGCAACTATCGTTACAATGTATCCTAGTCATTCAAAATGAGTGCTATGTCAAGGGTACTGGAACTTCATAAGATTAAACATAAGCAGTAGAGGATGGTGAGTAGCGTCGCTAGTATAGATGGCAGCCCTCCGTAGTACGTGTCCCATGCTTAGTGTCTTCGTACCAGTAATGCGCTAGATCCATTCCGTTACATTATCTGTCGTTCCCGGCTTCATTATTTGATGGATTTTTATGACATAAGTATATATACAAGTATAAGTGTCGACACCTAACATTAGAAGGTGTACAGTTCCGTGCTAGCGCCCTGAACTAACAAATTAATGTTGGAAAAATTACGGACCATGGGAAGATTTTATTGCAATTACTCATAGCGCATGCTGTCATATAGGTGTACCTTTAGTTTCCTAAAATAATTTCTGGTTGTGGCTTGTGACAGATTTGTAAATCAAAGTTCGTGCTGAAACTGATGTGACAGTCATTCTTCTATATTCTTCCAACACTACGTATGCAGAGATTAATTATATTTTTTCTTCAAATTTGGTATTTGGCTTGATATTTCAACCAGGTTGCACTGATTTTGGTCATAGCCAGGAACAGAGTGCGCAGCTTAGCCAAAATTAATATTTGAAGATAAAATCGCGTTAATTACACACAGTAAAACATCAGTGTTGGAACATAGTCAGACTTTAACATATCATAGTAAGTATTCGAGGTTATTGTTTTCAAGCTTTCCGTTTAAGAGGCAGTAGTTATAAACGCATGGTTTGCATTATATTCTTTATCATTTGTGAATGTGTATGGGTAGTTCTAAGGAAGGTGATATAAAGATATGGTAGACTCGAGAATAAATTTGTTATTGCTTAGCAACCAATAAACTTGCAATGAAACCCTATCGAAGTAGGTTACCGCTATAAAATGTATGAACTGTGTGTTATCAATGCATGAATGTACTAACACTATTTGCATGGTAGTTGCAAGGAAGTGTGACACGAGATAACCTTATAAAAATAAGCAAATAATTGTCAACACTTACTACTGCGACAAGTAATTTGTCTGTATGATTGTATATAGCTATAAACTTAATGAAATTGAGGGCCTGCTTTGTAATAAATAAATAATTATTCGACGTTCTATTGAGCGTTCCATACAAGATATTCATATTTCATGCAGTTGAGTAGCCGATCCGTGGCACTCCCTGACCAAGTCGCCTGTACTTATTCTGTATTATGCACACAAACAACATGGAGAGATGTTGTGGTGCAGTTGTCTCGTGTCGACATGCTCCTTGATCTATGTAAATATATTTGTGTTGAATATTAATCCTCTCCGAGCCAGCACTGTCCTATTTTTACATGTAACTCGTCAGTTCGGAGGTAGATCTCGTTGTATACGCCTGTTTGGTTACGGACAAGCTAAACTTATGGATTCTAATTCTGATGTAATAAAGATCCTTTATTATACACGAATCTTTGACATAATTATCATAAAATTAGCTGTTCGTATCTGAGCAGTTTGTTTGAAGTTTATACACGTGTGTAACGATATTCTTTTATATCAGCAGCCGGTGCAGAAGAGTGGCGGTACGATAGCCGTGCTGCAGAACATCCCACTTCACACCAAGATCAACGTGAACAAAGTGGGCAAAGCAATGACTGTCAATAGCAAGACCAATTTCCCTCGCTCGTCGGTAGCCTCAGCTGCGCTTTCTACAGTCCTCACCCCTGGCAAATCCTTGCTCAAGGACAAGGAGAAGAAGTCTTCGGGGCAGTTCTCGCAGCCATTCGTTGACGATAAAATGGCTGGAGATGATGACATCAATGATGTGGCTGCCATGGGTGGTGTCAATTTGGCCGAAGAATCGCAGCGAATCCTCGGCTCCACGGAGATGATTGGTACACAAATAAGGTAATATTATTGTAATGATTACTCAATTTTAAAATAACAAGTTAGTAATTTTTAGTATATTCTTTATGCTTAAAATATTTGTCTGTTTGCAGATCTTGTAAGGAGGAATACCTAGTACCGACGAGTTTGATGCAGGCTCGCATTAAGGCAATTACATCGAAGCACAACATGGAAGAATGTCCACCGGAGGTGGCTAATCTCATCAGCCACGCAGTGCAAGAACGATTGAAGACACTCGTGGAGAAGCTGTCCACCATCGCGCAGCACAGAATCGATTTGCTGATAAAGGTAATTTTCCTAATAGATTACAGTTCATACTGCAGTTGAAGTAACTAAAATAATGCATTGACTTATTGCGAAGTGTATTCTTTACAACTCTCGCGACTGATACTGCTGAGCTATAAATTGGCTACTTGAACATTTGTGAAATATGTTTCAAAACATGCAAAATGTTTTGTTATCCGCCATCACAACTGTCTTGTTTTCATAAAATGCATTATTGTAAAAATATTGAAACATATTTTACTAAAGTACTAAATATTTGTTTTAAATAAAAAATAAACTGAAATTGTATTACGGTATAAACGGTAACCTTCACACTATAGTTTCTTATACTCCTATATTGTATTTTTACATTGTTTAAACAGCCAATTATTATCATTGTATTTGTGATTCATATTACATAAAATTAATTTCTTGTACCTACTATCATCTAGTAGCTTTCGAAGGCTTCCTTGTCCCAAATATTTGATTTTATACTTGAATCTAAAGGTGGATTGCTACAAAGTGCAAAAACTCATGTCTGTAGTTAATTTCAATGAAATGTTGATTTTAGAATATTTTTTTCTTAAATGACACCTACAGAATAGATAGAATCTGTACCTACTGGTGATTCTGCTGTGCGTTGATAGTTCTTAACTTTTAAATTCACAAAATTACTAAGTCAGTGTTCCCATACTCACTCACCATTATCATTATAATTTTGTGTGAAATAAAGTTACTATCAGACTAAATTGTGACTGTACCGGTGCCTTCTCAGAATATGCTTAAAAAGTAATAAATGAGATAACAACATAGCCTGGTTACAGTGCCTGGTAATAACTTCACGCCATGTTGTATATAAGATGGTGTTTGTACATAATGTCATTAAGAAGTTTGTATGATTGCTGCCTATGATGACCTCGGAAGTTTGTGCTACAAGTAAGTTTTAGGGCTGGCGCTCACTGCCGGCACGATACGGCATGGCATGCCAAGGCAAAGGATTTTAACTAATCAACTTATCTAAAATCCTTTGCCTGCTAAAGTTCATTTTACTTTATCTGTATACCACAATGCCGCGACGCGCTCCGGCATCCCGTTTGCTCGCGAGACGTATGGTAACTTTGTGTCGAGGAATTATGATATGCGTATGCTTAGTTGAAATAATGTTGTAACTTGCGTATAGCGGTCATGGCAGAGTGCCCCGGTATACCGCAACACAAACTGCTGTGCCAGTGAGCGCCGGCCCTTAAGGTCTGGTTTTATTAAAACTTCTGATAAATTAATAATAACAAACAGGTCAAAAATAAGTTTTAGTAAAGTAACTTAATAAATTTTGGATTGAGCGTAAATATGTATAATAACTTATGTATTATTTGTGATTGACAGACAGAAGAGGGGTAGAAGTAGTTAGGTACGAAAGAATGTTAAGTTTGAATCGTGACGTCGTTACATCATGGTCTCTGAATATTTCATTGGCAGACAGACCTATCGATATATGTATATAATTACTATGTATGGTCGAGTCTGAAGATCCTTTAGTCAAAAATAAATCATTCCATCTTTTCAATACAATATCAACATTTAAAGAAAAACAAACACACTATCAACATTTGATTCGAAGATATACTTAATTCTCGAATATCCTTGCTAATTTTACAACTTCATATTATTAACCATTGTCCACATTGACATTGGTTGAGTAGATGAAACACGAAACGAACCAATTTTATTTCGCATTTGTAACATTAATTGGGGTTGAGATACCTAATAACGCCACCACCACATACAGTCTCGGTAAACATTGATAGATAACTATAGTGGGAGGCATTTTGAAATAACTATTGAATTTGTCTTGTTATAAAGTACGGTATAGTGTTGTCTTTGTGTTTTTCATATGCATGGCGAGTCTTACACTTGTAACTTGTAGTACCATCGTGCTTACATTACATTATTATTATTTTATTGTAGTGTCACTCATATAATATATAATGTTTAAATTAAATAGACGCTTTGCGCTACACGCGGAACATAAGATGTATTTTGATGTATTGGCTGTGGTGGAATTGTTTTGAATGCTCGCTGCTTTCCTAAACTGTCTTAACGTAATTGATAGACTTAACAGTCTTTATCAGATGTCCATTAAAACTTCAAACAATAGTGATATTAAATGCTACATGAATAACAATATAAAATAATTGAACCATTTCAAAGTTGTAATGCAGTTGTCGAGCGAATGCGTATACTGTGGAATCGCTATTGGCTGCTGAGCACGAATGTTATTTTTTTACTCTTAGTAGTTTGAACTGCAGTAATAATGTCACCGTGATTAATAAATTTTATTATGTTCCTCACAGTCTGATAATCGCTATGAAACAACCCAAGACGTAAAGAGTCAGCTCAAGTTCTTAGAAGAATTGGACCGCGTAGACAAGAAGAGGCGAGAGGATTCTGAGAGGGAGATGCTGATGCGGGCAGCCAAATCTCGATCTAAAAACGAAGACCCGGAACAGGCCAAACTGAAGGCTAAAGCGAAGGAGATGCAGCGTGCCGAGCTGGAAGAGCTACGGCAAAGAGAGGCCAATCTGACTGCGCTACAGGCCATCGGGCCCAGGAAGAAGGCTCGTCTCGATCTGCCCGGTGGCTCCGGTGACTCCATTTCCAATGGCGCTGGACATACTGCTGCCCCAGGCATTGTAAGTATACCTAGAATATGCTTATATAAAATACCAGCTTTTGTCCGCGACTCCGTACGCGCAACCTCGTTTTTTCCCGTTCCCGTAAGATAAAAAGTATCTGTCTGTCTGCAGCCAAAGGCATATTGTCGTTCTTAAGTTACAAGTAGTGCAACTAACACGACTTTCTTTCCCATATAGATAGTTGTGTCATATCATTCATGAACTTGCATTAATTGTGTTTTTATTTTATTGCAGGCCGGCCGCAGCCAGCTAGCGCTCCGCACGCGCCTGAAGCGCATCAACATGCGAGACATGATCTTCCTTCTGGAGCAAGAGCGGGACACGAGCCGTTCCGTCATGTTGTACAAATGCTATCTCAAGTAAACGTGTGCTCCCACTCATCTTGAATGCGATTTATGTTTGTGTTCGACACTGTACACCAAATGTTTCGCTATACCAAATAACTCTCGAGTTGTATGGGCGTACATGTAGAGTATAGACACGAAGGTAGCGGGACCGCGGGAAGCGTTGAGAGACCTCGAATACTGCGATACGTCCAAGGCAAGGGTGATATTGATAGATATTGATAGACAAATGTTGATTATGGATTATAAAGAAATGTTGTTGCCAGCGTCCACACTTCGCACTTACCCTGCATGTGTGCCCAGTAAGCAGCAACATTACAAAATTTTAACATCTGCAAATATGTAGAATTTGGTGCTTACTTATGTTCTATATATTTAGAGATAAGCTTATTGTTTACAATACCAAGTGTTTTAAATGAGCCTGCTTTTTAAGGGGATTGTTTTATTGTTAAACATGATTTTGAATTACGCGTTAATGATAATGTTTGAAATTACAATTAATATAAAATCATGTTGATTTTAACAGATGCGAAAAGAAAAACAAGTATTAAAGTTTTACGTAATTCATGGTAAACTATAAAATAATATATTCTAAGAGCCTACTGTCACAGTTAACGAGCGTTTTCAAATACGTAGACACTATTTTACATCAGTTACAATTCGAATATATATATATATATATATTTATGTTCCCAATTGATTAGATGTATGTGGACACCTGTATCTTTGTTGAGCTGACGTTGTTTTCATGGATGTCCATGTAGAGACATGCTGCGCATTAATCGTTGTTTCTGCAAACACGACTGGGTTTATGTGCATGCTGTAGTAATAATTTGTTATTGGATAGTTATTGTACTTAACTATGAAGTTTGACACTTGTTTTCAAGATAATTCACGGTGTTACATGATAGCTAACACTGGTCTAAAACAATATAGAAAAACAAACCAATTTAGGTATCATTTACCTAATTAAAATTGGATTTGTTAGCACTGACTATGTGTTGTTTATTCTCTTAATATTTTAAAGTTTTTTGTTATGTAATTGATATCTGCTTACATATCATATGATTGCCTGTTTCATCATTCAATCACTGCCAAGCATTCTTCCAGAAAGATTTGCAAATATCGCTAGACGGAAGAAATTTAAAACTTTAATATTTGAAATGAATAGCATATTAGTCATTTATACTTTAAAAGTAAAAATTAATACATTCCCATATATAAGAGTTGTATAGCAAATATGCAAATTTTTTATTTATTAGTAATAATTACAATAAAGTAATTGTACATAGTATTATGTAGGTTTTAATAATAATTTTGAGATATATGTTTTAGAATTTTAAGAATTATTTTGCTATCCGATGCTATAGTCAGCCCTCAATTAATTTACTATTTTATAGTCTTTCGGAGTACTGGCAATTATTTCTACGAAAATTTGTCTATTCGTACCAACTGTGATATTGTAATGACTTACTAAATGAAGTTGACGACAATTTACTGAATTTTATCTATAATTCCTTTTAATGATTCAACTATTACATTTCTTTGTTAATATTTTATTGTCTTGTTACTCAATATTATCTTGTGCTTAGAATTATCTATTCTCTTTTACCTGTTACCAGCAACTGAAACAAAACCTTAGTAAATAAAGTAACCTAATCTTCCATATATTAGTTTTTGGCTGACTGATTGACGAACAACATGTTAGGAATAGATGAAAATTAAATTATTCAATGATTGTGGGATCTATAGACATGATTTATATTTAAGAAATAATTAATAAATATTGAAATATGTATAGCACAGATCTTATTATATTTAAGACGACATTTTAAACTAATCATAATTCATTTGTTAATCAATTTTCTACAATTACCAACAACCGTTGTTTCTTATTGGCTGATTACATGTTGGAATAGTACTGAAATGGTAGCTGTACATAATTAAGTATTGTGTTATTAGGTAGCATAATAAAGTTGGCTCCGATTCTGCTACATGCCCACTAACTTATGAATTGTTCTTTGTTCAAGTTTTTCTAGTTAGTAGTATTACATTGTGTGGTAGAATAAAATAATGAAATCCGACTAGTTACTTGGAACATTATCATTATTGTATTTATTACTGTTGCAACTTAGCCAATTTTACAGTCCATATCAAGTGCTGCAATGGATCACCACCAACACACTTGTGCAATAATAGATGATTTTAATAGTTGGCAAATATCAATCGCAAATATTATTTGCCTGATGTTTTTGCTTGTGTAATATATTAGAAAATATGAAGGCGCTTGTCATATGTGGTTTAAAGGTTAATCGCGTTGTGTGAAAATTAATATTGTTATTTACGAGTTTCTATTGTAACAAAAAAATCAATGTCACTAGTGTCTTAACTCCACTGCTATGTAGTTCCACATAATGCGATTTAACTTTGAATATCAAGTTATGTAAATAATTATAAATATATAGTAAATGTAAATAATTGTAAATATAGTGTTAGATTTAATATTAAGTTACATACTGTTACTGATCATGTTATGCTAACTGCCATATTTGACTAAAGAAAAATTAATTATGGAATACCTTTTTAAATTGTTTATCATGCATGTAATGTTTGAATGATAGCTGTGTTGATTATGTAGATTGTAATAAATTGTTCTCTATTATCTTATACACAATCTGTTAATGTTACTCAATAACGCTTTTCATTCATGAGGGTTCTTCAAAAACAGAGCTTTGCTTATGTGTGAGGATGAAGCTGTCTGTTTGATAATGCGCATACAGACTTATCCTCCCACAAATGTTGAGCTCTACAATCATCATTCGCCGTAGGTATTGCTGTTGTCATTCTGTTCATGTTTATTCGATAAAGAAAACTGTAACAATGAAGACCACCGGATGCAACAACCTGTAGATTACTTAAAAGTTTCTTACATTTTTTATTTTATTGTTATTGCATGTAATGTTATATATTTCTGAAAGATTACAACAATAGTAAAATATGTTTTGTATGACAAGTTTAATCGTGTGGTTGAAAAGTTAGCAACAGTAACAGTATTTTATGTAAATAGTAGTTATTTATTTGTTTATAGTCTATTTGTAATAAAAGATTGAAAGTTTTAATATATATTTTTATTTAACTATGAGGCTACTGATTATAATAATTTAGCTCCGGCCAGCATTTCGCCCTTAATCCTCAATCTACCCCTATTCCAAATTTCATCCTGATCCATTCAGAAGCTCACAAGTTTTCACATTTACAATGTTAATAGTAGATAGAGAGAAAACGTACTTGTATGACACACATTATCAAAGATTATAAACAATAAAATTACAAAGTAAGTACTTATAAAATACAAAATATTACTAAAAACTTAAAAGTAAAAAAAAAGAACAATGAACACCAAAGTATAACAAAATATGTACAATACATAGGTACATAAAGTTGTTTGGTGGCAACATAAACATTCAAACAAAATTGGGTCATCAATCATTCCAATTTACATTCTGGGATACTCTACAAAAGACTCTTGAGAACTCAGTAATGTAACATAATAAAACACTAGATTATTACCAAATACTCAAAATTTGAATGTAGTCATAATATAGGCCTTACCATTAGCATGTAGTGTATGCTAATGGTAAGGCCTATATTCAGTAGCAGTTAGTCAACTGGCTGCTGGGCAATATGTCGTGGTTTCGATTCCCACATGTTGTCATTCCTATGTACTCTTTATAATGATATCCAAGCCTATTGCGTGACGTGAAATTGTTTATGTGAATGCGCTAATGTTTAAACAATGTTAGATTGTAAGTTCTTTATTATTGAGTTAGTTATTTTCATCAAGCTTCCCCGTGCATACTGCTAAAGAGTGGAATTCTGTGCCAGATTCTGTATTTCCTGAAGGGTATATATACTGAGTGTCTTCAAGGCCCGAGTGAATAGGTTGCTTATGGGACGACGTGCTCCATCGTAGACCGCATCATCGCTTACCACCAGGGAAGATAGTAAACAAACGTCGCCCCATCAAAAGAAAGAAAACAAAAAAATCAGTACGTATCCAGGGCAGAGGCGGATTAAGCATAGAGAGCGCCCTAAGTAAACTCCTCATACACTCGCCTAATTTCTTTTGACACCGGTGGCGCCGAGATTATTGGTACGAGCGAGTCGAAGCATGGTGTGGGTGGCGCTCCTCTGTAACCTGGCGCCCTAGCCTACTTTACCTTAGGAATATTGCGACACTGACTTGAGGACGGTGAAAAAGTCAGTACCTATGATTATGAAAACAGTACAAGCAAGTAATTTCGTATCATTTGTGGCGCTAGTGTAGCATTACATTGAAACGTCTGTGGTATAATTTCCCGTTTTCCGTAGCAAAAAGTAGTTGCAAAGCAATAATTATAAATATTTTGTACTCATATCTTCTCATACGTGATGTTGAAAACATTTATTTGAATGAAAATAGTGGTATAATTTTTATTGCCCAAATAAAACCGAAACTTACCGATAAAAAAAGGGTTTGACGTGTTTCAAAATGTGTGTTGGCACACGAAAAAAAAAAATAGTGACACGTCCACCCACCCTGTCAAACTTCCACAGTTCCTCTGTTCCTGTATGATAAATTTTCATGTTTTAACTATTAAAAATGGTAAGAACACCTTTAAATTCACAAAAATAAACGTAATAGAGTATTTGCGCATCATTATGCGTGTTGACAAAATTTCCGCCACGTAGTTGTATATTTGTCGGCAGTGTGTCATCATTCGAATAATGTCGGCTTCCAGTTGATGTAATTTGCGTGAAATAGGTGATTTTTGTGTTTTGTACGGGTTGCCTTTAGTGTACTGTTGCTATGTTCCGACAGCCGTTGCGCCTGGATATCAAGAGGAAGTTGACAGCGAGGTCGGACCGCGTCAAGTGTGTGGACCAGCACCCGACCGAGCCTTGGCTCCTATGCTCCCTATACAACGGTGACGTGAACATATGGAACTATGAAACACACTCACAGATCAAGAGGTTTGAGGTAACTACACCTTTGCTTGTACATCCTGCTAGCTCTTATTGACTATGACTATTTGACTTTTGACTATTTGATGGACTACGACTACGCTACATTTAGCACTAAATGAATTAATCTGTCAAACACCAAGCGGTCACCGGTGACCGCGACCTATTGTTCTTTAATTGTGTCTATAAACCTGTACTCGACGAGTTAATAAAACACTATTCCAGTAAGATTACAGTATACCCTCAAAACTAGTATTTTAGTTGAACTAAACTGATGGACATACAACTAACATATTTATAAAATAATTGCATTCTTATTAGAAAAATACTTCAAAAACATTCACACTGAAATACATTTCAAAATAGAAATGCGAATGACATACAATTATATTCATCATACACAAGTTATGGCAAAGGCAGTGTAATGCTTGAGGATGCAGCAATGTATAACAAACTACAAAAGAACATAAAAAATGCATGACAATAATTTGAAAGATTGTTGAAGTTTATTTAAGCAAACAACTCATTGTTATCATAATAATAATAACGGTTTACTGTAATTTGGTTTTAATATTTCTCTTGTAAGTGAATTATTGTAATTCTTATTGGAATAAACATATCTCAAACCTCAAATTTATAAAAAGTATTTTGAAACAAGTCATAGTAAAACACAGATGATTCAGGAGTCAAAAAGTTCTAACTACCAATCATATTCTGATCAGAAAGGGGAAAATTAAAACATTCAGAAGTAATAAGTTAGTTGTAAGATGTGGGTATTTCTATTAAAATTATACACAAGAATCTTCCATATTGTTAATGAGCTTTGCCTAATCTGGTTTTATAACAAAGTTTCATTCACTATTTTGTATGTCTTCTAAGCTGGCACAGGTGATAATGTTGTCATGTATGTACTAGAAATTCAGACAAGACTCTTTACATTCAAGACTTCACCACTGAACAAAACATTGAGTGTCATAAATAAAATGTGTGTTTTAAAACAGATAAGCATCTGATATATAATTAGATTAGTTAAAATTTCCACTTAAATATAATAACATAATGTTGTGATTAATGAGTTGATATTAGTTTATCACTATCACAATTTGTACTACACAACAGTTCTTTGAATGGCTGCATGTCCTTATTTTAATTAATAATTCAGTTAGTTTGCAATGGATGGGTGACTTTGATAAGAAGTTTTAAGCATCTTTTTTAGACTTAACTATAGTTTTAAAGAGTTGTAACTCTAAGAATTAATAATAAATACCAACATTCTTAATTTTAGTTTTGGGTCACACACACATCATCCTGTCCTTATTCAATACAAAATGTTAGCATGTCTTGATATAATTCAAGGTTACAATCATTTCACAGAAGACTTTTTGTCAACAAATAGCATTGCTTTCCTCAGATCTCCAAAATATTGACAAAGTGTTTGTTAAACTGCATTCCTGTGTGATATTATTTAACATGAATTGGAAATTATGTTCATTCCAATATGAGGGTTCAACTTTCTCTTATCTACCCTCTTTCTCTTATTTCTTATATCTATGAGAGGAAAAGAAGCAGTATGAAAACAAAAGGGTAAATAGTATTGTTATTTATTTTCACACAAATGTATATTGTGTTTTACAGGTATGCGACCTACCTGTGCGCGCCGCCAAGTTCGTGCCACGCAAGAACTGGGTGATCACCGGCTCTGATGACATGCAGATTCGCGTGTTCAACTACAACACGCTGGAGAGAGTGCACGCTTTTGAAGCGCACTCCGACTACGTCAGATGCATCGCGATACATCCTACACAGCCATACATTCTCACCAGCAGCGGTAAGCTACACTACTTATGCTAAATTTGAAAAGTATGTTATTCGTTGTTGACTATAAATTCTATGACTATAAAACCTTTTTCTCTAAGCAATGTAGAATTATCTTTTTGTAACTTCAGATTAATATGTTCAGTTGTTTGCACATCGGGCAAATAACAATGTTTACTTTTACCATGTTTAACAGCTGCATCCAGGTAGTAATGTAGCAACAAATAGTTTATTATATTAGTTTCTGTGTTATTTTCATTATTTTTGTTTCTTTATATTTAATACAATAACCATAAATAATTGTTACTACTGTGAATAATAGTGTAAGCACTAGTCCTTACACTATTATTCCTAGGCAGATAAGATTAATTTCGTACATGCTAGTCCATTTTCAGTCAATGTATAGAATTTTAATTGATCCTTGATTGCAGATGATCTACTGATCAAGCTGTGGAACTGGGAACGCAACTGGGCATGCCAGCAAGTGTTCGAGGGCCATACACATTATGTGATGCAGATCGTCATCAACCCTAAAGACAACAACACATTCGCTAGTGCTAGTCTCGACACCACCGTCAAAGTAAGTATTATAATTATGATTGTAACATGTCTAAAGCAAGCATGTGCTTTGATATTATGATACTACTTATCTGTGACCAGGTATGGCAACTGGGGTCGTCAATTTCAAATTTCACGCTAGAAGGCCACGAGAAAGGCGTCAACTGCGTCGACTATTACCACGGAGGAGACAAGCCCTACCTCATAAGTGGTGCCGACGATCGTCTTGTCAAAATATGGGACTACCAGAACAAAACGTGTGTTCAGACATTAGAGAGTGAGTAAAACTAGATATTTCTTGTAAAGTTTCCACACTTTGTCCTAGTGCAGTCCATATTACACAGGAATCGTGTTTGCTTTTCGTTGTGGTCTTACAGGTCAATCATCTATTGACCTTCATCATTGTGAATGAATGCAATCAATTGGCACATTCAAGGGTTATCATTCAAATTGTATCACAAAGAAGATGCCATTGCAATTGCAATTGCATGTTACAAGGGGACTATTAAATTGGCCCCCTTGATATCATCAATTCTACAATACAATTGATTTTTTTATTCCGTTGGTCTGACTGGGAGTTGTTTATTGCTAGTAAAGTGTGGCATTACTTTATGACGTGGTTTGCGCACAGGTCACACGCAGAATGTGACGGCGGTGTCGTTCCACCCCGAATTGCCGATCCTGCTGACTGGCTCAGAGGACGGCACTATCAGAATATGGCACGCAGGCACTTACAGACTAGAATCCTCCCTCAACTACGGCTTCGAGAGAGTCTGGACCATTTCTTCGATGCACGGCTCCAACAACGTGGCCATCGGGTAAGTCATTTCTAATTGTTACTCTTTTACTTTGCCTTGACAACACTCGACAATTACAGGTTAAAAGTAAAATATTTGTAAATATGGTGTTGTTTACAAATCCATATCCAGTATTTGTTTGTGTGCTCGCCAGTTACGACGAGGGCACGATCATGATCAAGGTGGGTCGCGAGGAGCCCGCTATTTCCATGGACGTCAATGGAGGCAAGATTATTTGGGCGAAACATTCTGAGATGCAGCAAGTCAACCTGAAGGCATTGCCAGAAGGTAAACAATTTGTTGATGTATTTGTAAACAACTTGTGCTTGTCACTACTGTTTCCGTTTATTGTTCTTTGACAGCAAAATTCATGTGTTATCACACAGTTTGCTATTAACATTTAATATTATGTATTCCAGGCACTGAGATAAAAGATGGGGAGCGAGTCCCAGTGATGGCGAAGGACATGGGTTCCTGTGAGATCTACCCTCAAACTATTGCGCATAACCCGAACGGACGGTTCGTAGTAGTGTGCGGCGACGGCGAGTACATTATTTACACGGCCATGGCACTTAGGAACAAGGCCTTTGGAACTGCACAGGAGTTCGTCTGGGCGTTTGACAGCTCGGAATATGCGACTCTTGAAAACTCCAGCACCATCAAGGTGTTCAAAAACTTCAAAGAGAGAAAGAGCTTCAAGCCTGAGTATGGAGCTGAAGGTAGGTTGATAGCCATGTCTAATTAGTTGGCTTTGAGTCTTTTGCTAGGCTTTGAAAACGAGTAAAGTATGAATTCGTGTTGCTTATTTGTATTGTTTTTGATTCAGGAATATACGGCGGTTTCATGTTGGGTGTGAAGTCTATCAGCGGTGTGGCATTCTCTTTCTATGACTGGGAGAACCTCGAGTTGATCAGAAGGTAAGGTCACATCCATCATTACATTGACTAAATGTCCAACATTCGTAGAACTCATCATGCTCACTGTTAGGCTATCAACTTTTATCTTGGCAAAATAAACGAGAATTTGCAGATAAACTGGAAACATACTTAAGTATCTTGCAATGAATACTAATGCAACTTAATGATGGTTGATAGGTAGCTATGCGACATATTTGTTTTTAATTGCTCTTATGAGTGACTGTGGAAACTAAGCCAGCAAATAACTTTGTTTTGTGCAAATAAAAAGAGAATTCATTTAAATTGAAATTTGATTTAACCCTGATAATTGATGATAAATCGAAAATGTTGTCTGTAAATGGCAATAATTAACATATTATTAAACAAAAAGATGTATTGCTAGCGTGCTACTTCTACATTAAAACTAATACCATGTTTTGCGAATGACTGCAGTTTGCTCTAAAGCGAAATGTTCCGGTAAATGGACGGTCTGGATTATTCCTATCACACATCATCCTCGTATTTTCAAGCCCAGAACTAAACTGAACTATAACCTCAAAAGTTAATAATAAACGTAAATAGTATGTAAACGACAAAACTAGCGAGTTTCATCGTAACAATTTTCAAAATAATTGGTTGACACTGATAAAATCTGATTCAAGCACGACTGTAAGCATTTTACTAACAATGCCTAGCGAATGTCATTTAATTTTGAGTTTCATTTCCATATTAAACTTTAACCAGTTGTGTTAATGGTCATACTGTTAATAATTGCTGGCGAGCTTGGCAAACTGCGCCCTGTGTCTAAACTCTGTCCTGTTACTGGGAAAATCGATTTTTTTTTAATCACTGGCTAGCTGATTACTCGAAACGAAGCAAGGTAGCAACAAAGTAAAGTTGGACTAGGTAACTTTCACGAGCTATTTCATACTAAACAGTAAACAGTGTATGTTAGTTTTGCTATGGCAATTACTAAAAAGCGATATCAATAATAATGCAATACAGATTTAGGAATTATATTTAAATTACTCCAGACCATACCTACTGGTATGTAAGAATCGTAGCAATTGGCGTTCCTTAGTCTCTGCCTACTCCCATGGGAGACAGGCGTGAGAATATGTAATGATGAAGTTAACCAATGCAGTTTAAGTGTACCTATAATATTATGACTGCAGCTAATTACTTTATACGCCCAACTGCCGACCTAGCCTTAGCCGTTGCTTAGTTTTGCTTGCGTTTGTATAGATTTCCTACTCAAATTTATTACAACAACAATTTTATAAGTAGTATCTTCTTTAATACTCAGAACCATGATCATCTATAGAAAGTTGATGCAGACTTTATGCATAAGAGTTAAACAAAATGTATTTACTCTTGTATTTACAATATTAATTGAGATACTAGCAAATGAAACCAAATTAATCTCAACAGATGGTTGTGATATTAGCGTTGTTACAAGGTCATTTTTAAATGGACATTGCCAATTTTTATACGATGCTGTGCAAGCCGTGGCATATCGTTTGAAAACTTCATTAGCAGCACTACTCATCCTTGCTATTATGTCTAGTGTAAAACTTAAGCCATTTAGCCGCCTATATACAACAGCGAATTGCATTGAGAAATATTTGTTTATATAGCGAATGTTGTTTACACACGTGTTCTCTCCAATAAGTTACTGTCTCAAATTCGAAGTTTAATCAAATATGTTCCCGAGTAACTACGTCACATTTTCATTTTTACACGAGTACATAAAATAATGATAATCAAACAAGAATCGTTCGCGGGCATTCTCTACGTTGACTCCTTTATTCTGCTATAAGTCAGTTGTCTCGTTGTCCAGGATCGAGATCCAACCTCGACACGTGTATTGGTCTGAGAGTGGCAACCTGGTGTGCCTGGCGGCTGACGACTCGTACTACGTGCTCAAGTACAATGCAGCTGTTGTGACGCGAGCGCGCGAAACCAATTCTAACATCACAGAAGACGGCATTGAAGACGCTTTTGAGGTAACCAGACAATTATTTTGTATTTTAAGTTAATCCTAAGGCAAAAGTGATTAGTATGAATGAATAGGTATCATTATACAAAAACGTCTCCTACTCCTATTAGGTAAACGTAGAGAGACTTTGTAATTGGAAATGACTTAGACTTAAAATTTTCTTTTTTCTTCATTTACATTAATCAATCTCTTCATATGTATGAAGCATGATTGAAGCATGCATAAAGAGCATGTGCTCACTGATTGAGCGTACTTTGACTTGACCCATTTTCTTATTGGTCGTCGTATGGAGTTAGCTCCTTGTACAGTGTATTTTCTGATACTGAATTATTTCACTATTTGCAACTCAATACTGTTTTGAATCTGATATGACGAGATTGAAAGCATTCTTCATCTTGCTACACTTATCCCAAGTTACGGGTCGGCATAATATACTACTAGTAAATTATGTACCTAGTATCGAGTTAGCATAAAATTGTTATCAACCAATTAAGTTTCAATTTATTTTAATTCGTCACTTTATTCACACACTGATGTCATGTGTTGTAAGGTATTATTAAATGAAGTTTTTAATTCAATATGTTTATTCTCATATATAAAGCTAAATAGTTCGTTTGTTTCAACGCGCTGATCTCCGGAACTAATAGTTCGAATAATTTAATTGTTTTTGCGTTGCATACATTTATAGAATACCGTTATTGGCTAAAAACATTACGGTTTAATTAATAGGAGCCGATTTGTGGGCACCGCACGGATTTGGCTTGTGTATAATAATATTTTGGATAATAGATTGTGTCTCATTTATTTAAATTATAAAATTTTCAATGCTCACTAAATAAAAAAAAACCTAATTAAAATTATTGTCTGATATATTCACTTGGGACATTTATATTTATAATTATGTAAATGTAAATATATATACAAATATGAATCCCTATACTCTTTGGTCTGGGCTCTCTGCCATTGCAGCGGTAAGTCCCCTCTTTGCGGAGTGGCTTGAGAGACGCTACGGCGTCCTCACCTACCGCCTGATGCAGGTCCTCACCGGACATGAAAGTTTCGGGAGGTACCCGTGTCTGATGGGGCGGGAGGAAACGCGCGGGTGTCATCACTGCGAGGACCGCCCTGAGGACACGGTGGAACACACAGTGGGGAAATGCCTTGCGTGGGCTGAGCACCGCCGTGCCCTCAGGGAAGTGATCGGCGATGGCGACCTCTCACGTCCGGTCCTAGTGCAGGTCATGATGCGAAGCGAGGGGACTGGGATGCCGTCCCCTCCCTTTGCGAAGCAGTCATGCTAGCTAAGGAGGAGGCGGCCATCGCGAAGGACACTCCAGGCGTCAGGCGGCGTAGTCATTCCAAGATTTTCTCTCCTTAAAAAATACCCTTTGGTCACGCCATGACAACAGCTGGACCGATTTCAGATTTTTTTTACTGTGTTATTATCAGTAAATGGTTCTTATAACAGAAGAAAGGATTTTTAAATCCTACGGGAACGGGAGAAAATAGGATTGCGCGTATGAAGTCGCGGGCAGAAGCTAGTTATGTATATTTAAAGATATTTTTAAATAAGGTGGTATTTAGTAAAAGGTTTAAATGTCTAATGTATGTGTTCGTGTTGGTGTCGATAACAGCGTTGTCATAGATAAGGCTGCGAATGTGAACCGTCGCGCGAGCCTTATCTATTACAGTAGTAATTATAATAGAGTTGTCGTAGTTTAACTAAAGTTATTTCTTGCACTGTTGAGGACTTTAATTTTCACATTGTGTTTTTGTAAAGGGTAACTTATGGTTGACTCTAGAGAATACAGACACTGTGTTCAGTACAAATACATATAATCCTTATCCTTACTAATATTATAAATCGGAAAATGAGTTTGTTTGTTTGTTCCGACTTCACGCCGTAACTACTAAACCGATTGCATTGAATTTTTGCAGACGTAAAGTTAGTAGTCTGGATTAAATAATAGGGTACTTTTTATTCCGAAAAAAATTGATATTCCTGAGGGAAAACAAATTATGGTATAGATGGTATTGGTATAGATGGCGCTGTATGTATTGGTATATGTCACATAGGCTACTTTTTATCCTTTTGACACGCGAGCGAAGCCGCGGGTAAAAGCTAGTAAAATATAAATTAAGTACTTAAACATTAGGACAGTTAAACAACATTTGAAGAAAAGGAAATTGAATTGGTTTTAGTTAAAAATGAAATCACTCCATTAAAACAGATTTATATAGTTGTCAGGGTACACTTTTGTTTGACGCTTTACTCCTGTGATCGAAATTGATTGAGGAACATTTTAGTTTTGCAGCTGAATAGTAGGCTGGGCTGGGTTTGACTTAATTATAAAGTATACGGCGTCTTATTCTATCCAGTAAGCGTGCTACCTTTATTGACGAATGTTGACCTATTATATTCTAAATTACTCGATATCTTCCTTTTATAAATGCTTAAGGAAGAGAAGAAGTTAACCACTGTTGTTCTGCCTCCAGGTCGTGGGTGCAGTGAACGAGGTTGTAAAGACAGGACTATGGGTGGGCGACTGCTTCATCTACACGAATTCCTTGAACAGAATAAACTACTACGTCGGCGGAGAGATCGTCACCATATCCCACCTTGACCACACCATGTACATCCTCGGATACGTCGCCAAGGAGAACAGGTATATATGGTTGAGAATTATCATCCAATTAAGCACCAGATCATTCCTCCAGAATAAGTCTGAGGCAGATAGCAGTAAACTCGATTGTTGCACAACATAGATATATATTTCATCAAAAAGGAGAGTGGGAAGTCGCGGGACCACCTGTATTGTCAAATCAATTAATCACAAAAACATATAATATAGTCATACTCACACACATACGCATACAGGTGCATGTATATAGGTGAACAAGATAAAGTATTCATGTTCTTTACAGGCTGTACCTAAATGACAAGGAGTTGAACATAGTGTCGTACTCGCTGCTGCTGTCGGTACTGGAGTACCAGACGGCGGTGATGCGCGCAGACTTCGAGACAGCAGACCGTGTACTGCCCACCATTCCACAAGAACATCGCACTAGGGTCGCTCACTTCCTAGAGAAACAAGTAAGTTGCATACGCTCATAGTATGTTACTTCAATATCTAACTAAATTCTTCTCTCCGTCGCTGCTGAAAATTGGTTTTAAATTTGTTATTAAACGTCTAGTGACTGTGTACTGGTGAATAACAATGTCTGTTTCACAGGGCTTCAAACAACAAGCTTTAGCAGTATCCACAGAGCCCGAACACCAGTTCGAGCTAGCCCTCTCACTGGGCGAACTTAGAAGAGCGAAGCAGTTGGCTGAGGAGGCGGCATTGGCCGAGGGTTCTACGTCGCGATCCTCAGCGGCGCGGTGGTCTCGGCTAGGAGCCGCCGCCGCCGCCGCCGCAGACACGGAACTCACCAAGGCCTGCTATCAGAGCGCTAAGGACTACAGTGCCCTACTTCTATTCGCAGCTAGTACCGGTGAGAAAATCTAGCCATCAATGTGTAATAAAATTTAGCCTGCTTCGTTGGTCGAGCAGTGGTTGCTTTTCACTGTTTGAGAACCACTAACACTTTACCACTGGTTTATGTTATTGCAGGCGACAAAGAACTGTTGAAGAGTGTAGCACAGATGTCCTCGGTGGAAAACGCAGAGAATATCTCATTCGTGGCCTACTTTATGCTGAATGATCTCGAATCCTGTCTCAAGCTGCTCATACAACGAGACAAGCTGCCTGAAGCCGCCTTCTTTGCCAGGTAAACACAATACACTGGAAATAATACCAATTATGACAGAACTATCTTTAATATATTGCAGAAGATTGATCTACTAACATGTTAATTGATACTATGTGGAGTATGGGACTGTTATCAGTTGATTGCATCATGTTTTAGATCATACATTCCATCGAAGATGTCGGAAGTGGTGAAGTTATGGCGTGAGTCCACTAGCGCCAGCAACGCGAAGCTCGGCCAATCTCTCGCCGACCCGGAGCAGTATGAGAACTTGTTCCCTGAATTCTCGGTACGATAACACCTTCTTGTCTACTTAATTGTAATGATGCATTTCATATGACCTTTTTGATATTATCTTTCGTTGTTTGAAGTTTTGATGTTAGTGCTAACTGCTAACCATGCCAAATTCGATTTCAATGAGGTTGGCACTGAGTTATAATTAAAAAGTTACTATTAAAAGTTGATTACCTACACCAAAAAGCTGATTACCTATTTGTGTCTAATATTCCAGCAATCATTGGAGTTGGAGAGATTTCAGCGCGAGTATGGGTATGAACAGAGTTGCTTGCTAGCAAACTTGCCGTTCGACTCAAAGACTTGCAACCTTGAGCGTAACCTTGCCACGGAGAAGGAGGAGGCCGAGCAACGCGGCTTTAAGCTGAGCTCCACTACCCTGGTGCGGTCTTCTGCAGACAGCTCAAATGATCTTGGCCTTGAAGACCGAGTTACAAGCAATGATAGGTCAGTTTAATAAATAATATTATCAGCGACAGCAGGTTTTGTGAAAGTCTTTAACGCAAAAATTAAAATAGTAATATTTTTCGTTTGTTTTATTTTATACATTTTACGCAGCAGTAATTGGCAAGGTTTGTCATACACTGGATGCAACTCTAGACTCCATGCGTGTACTAAGATTTTTTTAAAGTGAATCTCATTAATTTTTCGTGACCCGCAATTGCTGACGCTTGACTAACAAGAGAGTTCATGTATCATTTACAATTGGACATCGTCCTCTGTGGACAACCTCTGTCCCATCTAGTGGACATAGGACTATAAGTTATTGAGAATTTATTTTCATACAGTATTTTATATGAGAATGTATGTTGCAGTCCTTCCCGCATGGTGCCGGACAGTACAGTGACTACTGCGGCACAGCAGGATCTGAAGAAACGGCGAGACTCTCTCGACATGGAGGAGCTGGAGCGGGAGATCGAAGATATCGTCCTCGACGGCACGGTCGAAAACGTGGTATGTTACACCCGAGTGCAGGAGACTGTGCCCAGCGTTACTTAGCTTATTATATATTTTTTTATTGATATAAATATAAATAATATATTCGCTGAAAAAATATTAATGTGTTTATGTGTAGTTTGGACGTTAGGAAGTTTGTAAGACTAGGTACTTATTGGTTCTGCAATCAAAGCAGTAACTTTATCTTGGTTTATTTTGTCGTTTAAGTTAACAGCTCTGAGCAAACGGCAAACTCGTTACTCTAATAATAGAAGGCGTTTATTTAACTACTTAGGAGGCAAGTTCTACTTCAGATTGAAGTTTTAAACAATTATCTAACGATATAAGTACTTCATACGAATTGCTACATTCTACATCAAAGTAACAGATAAGGTTCATAATTATACATGTTATACATGAACGTAAAAAAACAATATAATGAGAATTTAGACCAGTTCTAATTACAGTTTCTACCTAACTAAACTACTGCCACTAAAGGTTCTAAATTTTGTTGTCATTGCAAAACTTAAATTAGACTAATACAACGCTTCGGCTATATCGCCAAATTGGAAGCTTGATCCCGAGTGATAGTACTACGTGGCTACTGCTAGACTGGCGTTCTGGTGATGTCGCCACTATAATGTACTCGAGTAAACGCATGCCCCTCGCTCACTAGCCGGTCTGTCGCCATTTTGGACGGTTTTCAAACGCATTTTGAATTTATTATCACTTCAAGGCAGCATGGCTATGACTACTCGAAGCCCGAATGACATAGCCACGTCTGCGATGCTGGGTTCTAATACAAAGTAGTGGAACTGTTCTTACTGCGTATAGTAGGTTACCTTCAACCGGCGAGGCGATTTGCTATGTTTGTTTCTTGCTAGCTAAGCACTTGACGGTCAGTCTGTAGGATGGTAATCCTTCTCGAGTAGAACTAATTTCTGCAGAGTACTGACTCTGCAGAAAGTTCAGTTCTGTTGAGAAGAAAGAGTGAGCAATGTAGGAATCGTACTCACTGTAACAACTGACGTGGATAACGTCAACAAAAAGGCACCGGGTCGTCTAATTAGTTAGGTGGTGCGATAGGTGCGATACCAGTTAGAAAGAAACAACGAAAGAATTGAAAGATTATATTATTTGGTGGATTCAGTTCAATATCTCTTAGACTATTACATCTTCTTTGACCCTTGTACACTGTAGGTACTGAAGGAACCAATCTCACGACTGCGGTGACTTCTTTCACTTTGTTTTCATTGATTGTGACATTTTTTATTCGATGCACTATGCAGGACGTGCCGAAGTTTTCCTAGTTAATTATTTTATTTGTTAAACAAAGCAAAGGGTACTCGAATACGACGTGTTTTTGTGTGCGTTAGATGTCAAGCAGGCGTCAGGTTATTGCCATTGATATGTACTGATAATGACCCACTTGACCATTATATTATTGACCATGCTAATTAGTAGACAAGAAATTACACCAACATCTCTAAATAAGGATCTAGTTTGGTCTCCATCATTCCGGCTATAAGTGCGTCGTGTATATGAAAATTGATGGTTATTGAACATGATACTAACCATGTTATCAGTGGAAAGAGTATCATAAATATACACTGAAACATGTCTTTTTTAACAAAAAGCATTGATAAGTAGCAGTGTTACCCTGGTCTTAGTTCCTTACAACGTCAGTAATGATGAGTGCTATTGATCAAAGTACACGGGATAGCGTGTGCGCATGTTCTAAGGGCGCGTCAGCATCTATAGATAATCCCTGCGGTCGCAACGCTTGTATCTGTCGAGTGGGTTCCATATCGTTTGCTTGTGTGCTCAGGGTGTGTACGTTAATCAGAGAACGGGGTTACTAACTAATGTGGACTCTAGTTTTTCGTCCAATAGGGAAATTAGTAAGTGTCACACCATTGGACGTTCAATATTTGACAGCTGCTGTGATTGGACAAAACATTTCTTGTTACATTCTGGTGACCAATACTACGGTAGCCCCCATTGAGTGGTACAGTGTGTCGCGTGTACTCATACTGTTGTTTTGTTTCAGGATCTGTCGGACGATGTAGATTTACTGGATTAATTCTTAAGTGTATTTAAATTGTTTATTTTATATACAGTACAGATCATAAAACTATTGTACTTCATAAAGTGCTAATTCCTTATAAGATTGAAGTATTATACAGATTTGCTTTGTTGTGTTTTTGTTGGATATTAATAAAATGTATATCGGACTCTTGATGTTAAACAGATATTGATGTTCTAATCAAATATAATACTAATGGATCTATTAGCCACAATATTATATTCTGGTAGTATAATTATAATGAATGAAATGCTATATTACTTAATACTTAAACTGATAAAGAAACATGTTATTATTTGTTAGAAATTGAAGAGTATGTAAATTATATAATAGGATAATAGCGAAAGCCGCGATATCAAGTGTATGATGTACCACAAACAGCTGCAAGTGTAGCGAGGCGCGGCCGGCGGCGGGTGTCGCCGAGCGGCGGATTACCTCACGGCGCGCTCTGTAATGGTGCTGTAATGCCAGGTTTCCTGTTTAGTACTCACCGTTAAATCAGCCAGACGCGCTTATTAGACAACTACGTCCATTCAGAAAAAAGGAATCATAATTTAACCTTTTAACGGAGTGCCGCCGTGCTCTGAACTAGTTGGACTAATTTGTAAGACAACCCATATACATTGAAATTAGTCTTGTTAGGATGTCATATTAATTTGTTTTAATTAATTGCTATCATCAGACTAGGTGTGCTACTCCTTATCGCTAGATTATTTGCAGCAACCGCAGCATACTTAATCACTTGATATTATTCAAAAATACTTAAACAAGCATTTTTCGTTAAACCTAATTAGTGCGTACAGGCAGATGGAATGTTTCTACTTATAGAAAAGCCTAAGTATCTTGTAACATAGTTTTGTCTTCAATTTCGTCACTATACTGTCTTATATATTGCAATGTTTTGTAAATCTATTTTTAATTATTAATGTAACTTAGGTATGCATGTATACTGCATAGATGTAAGTATCCTTATGGGTGGTTGCCGCACCGTTTCAAGCATTTTTGTGTGCCGTTAAATTTACTCTATCGTTAGGAATAAAATGAATAATTCAACTTCTCTTCAACTTCTATTATTTGCTGAATTGTAAAACTTTGTGTTCGAATTCAAAATTATTTGCACTAATTCTGAGAACATTCTGTGTCGTTCACATTTCAATACGCACACCAAAGTACAGACCTCTGTCCATTTGAAGTTTGATGAACTCTCATTATTTAAATATACAGTAAGTTTGTTAATACATATATCGAATAACTTTATCACGTCTGGTTGTGAAACTAGACGATTTCGGTATATCCTAACGACTACTCTGGGAAGACACAATGAAATAATCTCAGAGGTATAACTTAAAGACATCCTGTAACAGTATGGTGTACTGTAACGAATCAGGTTGGTCTGACGTGGTACCTGTACTTGTAATATGATGCAGGTGGACCTGTCGGCCTGTGCATCCGTCGCGAGAGTACTCAAAATGATCCTATCTACTTAGTAATAGTAAGGCAAAAAAGAGACCCACAAGGTGCTACAATAAAGATATGTTTTATTATTTTTTCACAATTATAATAAAGAAACGTTTTATTAGAAGTCAAAGCCTATTTCTTTATTCAAAACAATATAAATTAGGTAAATCTTATAGTTTTTCAAGGAACGAGGACTAAGAATGAAGATAGATTTTAGTTTTGATATGTACGAATAGAAGATCCTATAATAATAGTTACTTATACCCGGCGCGTGTGTATGACCTGTAAACAAAGTTGAAGAACTGAGTGAAAATTAGGATCGTAGTAATAAATAAAATATTTCTTGAAATTCAGACTTGAGTTTTATTCCCCGATTTGTCCTTTTGTTTTCCCTGACGTGAGTAAACGCTACGTATTACGTACTACGTTTAGTAGTACGACAGTAGTTCGTAGATACAACAATTTTGTTGTTGTGGAAAAGTGACGGAGAACAGGGATAACGGATATTCCTAAGACGTCACATCGATTGAGACGTCATTGGGGAAAATAGCACCATCAATGAATAACATGTCGCCGAGTTAACCTGAGGGTGACTAACGTTTGAGGTAGGTAAATAGAGGTAAATACTTAGGTGCCTACTATGTATAGTTGTAGAAATGTAAAAGCCCCAATCCTCAAAGAGTCGGCGATGTCCCTGTAGAATGTTAATCTCACCTTCATTTACTACTACACTATGAACTTCTAGTACCTAGTTTTAAATATCATGGTCATAGTCATACCGAGTCTATTATAATAACTAGATACAATTTGAGACACAGTAGTACTACTTCTTGAGTTGACTAAGCTTACAACTTGACAGTCGAACCTGTGACTTTCTTCCGCAGATGCAGCTGCGGCTACTGCTAACGTCCATAATATTTAATACTAGCTACTAGAATAACATAATATATTTATTTTATTCAAGTATTATACAATTGCACAAGGAGGATTTAAGGAATATATGAATCTAGTATACCTACCTACTAATATTATGTATAAAGTTTGATTAAAACATCTGAGTCCACGGCAGTGCCCTCGCTAAGTCGAGCTCAAAGCAAACACTGCCGTACTATCCTTTACTGGACTAATTTCGTCGCATATTCAGGCCCCTATTTGAGAACCTCTGGATAAGACCCCAGAAATGTTCATTACCCAATAAGCTATAATCGCATATTTTAAGTCTGTAAGTCCTTGTGTTCCAAAGTTATGCAAAAACATTGTTTCGCATTTATGACACTCGTTATCATCAAAATAGAACTGGTAAGTACTTCCCATAAACTCAGAGAGCTGAAATTTGGTACAGAGATAGGATTTAATGGCCACGTAAAGGGTAAACTATAGAAACTAGGATAATTGAAGATCTGGAGTACCTGGTGACTCTGGTACTGGTTATCTACAAGAGCCCAACCAAACTATTAAAGATACACATGTACTGCCTTTACAAAAGATGTTCAACTTGGTGGGCCGCTTCATTTGATGTCAAAAATCGAAGGTCTGAAGAATCTGATGAAGAATCATCAGCAGGTTATAGTTGTATTAGAAATATGAAAGTGCCCTCTTCTACTATTAGTGCATAAGAATCGACTGTCATTTCAAAATATTCCCAGAATAAGATGCCCAAGTTTCGACGAAAAGAGGTGAAATCCAACCAAAAACATTCTGTAAAAAACTAACCAAGTATCGATGGAGCTGCTCGTTCGTCTCTAAAAAGTAATGAAATCAAGACAACATCGTGCCAAGTCTAAGGTTCCATATTGCGATTTTATTGTAGTTAATTAGAATATAGGTACTGAGAAAAGCTCTACTAGTTTCGAACCACGGAGGGGTTGTTCCTTATGAGGAATTAAGGATTAGGAATATGAGGACCTGAACACAAAACCGAAAACCTGATAACTACTGTGCTGCATCTAAGCTGTGATGATATAGAAGACACGGATATATTAATATGACTGCCCCGTTAGCCGAGTGGTCGCAAGTGCGGCTGCTGGGCATAGGGTCTCGGGTTCGATTCCCGGGTCGGACAGATTATTACAAGTTTTTTCTTAATCTCAGTAGTAGTATAGAGTCTGGAATTGTGCCCGGTATATGGCAACAGACTCACGCCCTATTACATATGATTCATAACATAAATAGTGAAAAATGGGTTACATTACATTGCACAGTGTCTTTAAGTCCGTAACGTGTACTGCCTTGACGTGGACCATAATCTACCTTTGTTCCAAACATCCCGGTTGCATCATCCCTACAGCCCGTTTTGAGCAACAAAAAATAAATAAGTTAATAAAATAATAAATTAATGAATACATGCCACCCCTAGTGAAATGTGTCTGTTACTGTAAGTTAACTAGTGTTAACATTACCAACCCACGTAGCCAACAGTCAACAAGAAGCACCTGTCTAAATTTGTGGCGAGTTAAAGTAGGCATTGTGATTCGTAGCAGAGTCATAAATGAATTAATCTTCATCTATGAAGTACGGAGTACCTATCTACTACTTAAGTTTCCTTGAGGTAGGACTTTTTTTTAAGGGGGGAAAATCATCGAATGACTGCTCCCGCCTAGGTGTTGAGGTAGGACTTACTTTTCGTACACATCAACCTTAAACAGTTGTCAATACTTATTACTAGAGATTTTCCTTAAATGTTGAGTAGGTACTCTACCTCAGTGCCTACTGGCGAAAAGTGTTTATGCATTACACGGAAAATCAGATTGTTAACGCACAGGGCGGTGTTTTTGTGAAGCTGAATAAGTGCGCTCGCGCCGCGGCCGGCGGTCTCTTGCAGTCACCTGTGAACCTGCGCGTGATACACTCCTGTGCACTCCGCTGTGACAACCACTCTGCGTCGATACTCGCAACTCCCTACGGTAAGTCACTTCACTACAACCTTTGAAAAAATGAATAAACATCTTTGTCAATATTATTCAAAATCATTTTTTACAAAACGCTGTGCGGCTTCGTATTTTCCTAAAATAATTACCACTTAATTATTTTTTTTATTTACTCTCATAAAAATATTAAAACCGTATCTAGCTAAAGCTAATCGTCTAAACATAAGAATGAATATTAGTGCAAAAAAAAATTATGCACGCATTGAACCTAAAAATAATTTACCGCGAAGTATGTAAATTAAATTGAAAATAACTCGTTCTGTTGCTCCACAAGTTAATGAGGTTTCTTTGCAGCGCTAATAGTTTAGTAATTGGCTTGTAGTGATTGAAAACCAATTAAACTAATTCAGCAGTAGTAGGTAGGTAGGTAGATACAAACCATTCAACTTACAGACACAGATAAGACATTTGCGTCGCGTGTTAAGTTTTATGTAAAAACTAGAGAGTTCCGCACAGTTACAGCTGCTCTGCTCGGCTCCTATTGATCGTAGCGTGATGTTTTATAGCCTAATATAACCTTCCTCGAAAAATGGACCATACAACACAAAAAATTATAACAAAGTAACTGAACAGCGATTTTATCTCGTAGTTCATCTGGTTCCGTGGTGTAGT